ATTCTCTTTACTGTCTTTTTTTAGCTTGTTTATATATTTACTGGTATTGTCGGATCCGAGGATATTCTAAAGAAAATTGGCAGTAATTTGGAAGTATCAAGGGGGTAGGCATTATTTGTAAAGTTTTTTGTGTCACAATTGAAAGCATTTAGCTACTGGCTTGTACAATGATGTGAATTCTAATTCATATAGATATTAGTCGTATGGATCGATCCATTGATGTTTAAGACTGCGATTGATCAGTCTCGTTTAGTAGTATAAGATTATATCTTGATGAAGTTGTATTAATTCTTACTAACCATAATATTGCAGAACCTTGTTATCCTAACAGTATTCATAAACATTTGAAACAAAACCACGAAGCAATGGATTTATAGTTCTTAGTTTCAGAATTTCAAAACTATGCTTATTTTAAGCTTTCATAATCATCTCATATCACTAGAATACAGTTTACTAGGTGGTATTGTTTAAATATTTAGTAATTTATAATTTTGCGCAATTATTATACAGTTCAGTCAATGGTTTTATTCACTTTTTCTCTTGGTCTCAAATGCGTACGTTCATAAGTCATAGTTCTTTTTAAGTAGAGATTTTCTTTCTGTTTTCGACTTACTCTTGAATAGTAAGGTCGTCGTTTCAATTCAGAAGTTTTTTAGTTTGAAAATATTTTTTCAGCAGAAAATTACAAAAAAATGTGCCGATAGGGTGAAAAGAAAAAGTTGTTTATTGAAATCCAATACATTTAAGTTATCTTAAATAATACTTAACATAAGGCATGTCTTATGAAACCTAATTATTATATTATTTTAACAAGTTTGCGGTTGTATTTGTTTAAATAAAGTGACCAATCAGTTTGTAATGTGCACTTGAGTTTGTGTTTTATTCTTAGTTATAACCTCAGCAGGCCTTGAAATATCTTACGTTTTTTTTAAAAACTGTACTTCGTTTTAACCTGACAGGTAAATGAATCCGTTCAAGTCGTATCAGCTGAGTTAGCTGACCCTGAAGAAATCGATAGACGAAAAAAAACTAAACAAAGAAAAAGTCATCAATAGCAGTAGGCTAAGATAAACAAAAAAGAAAAGAAAGGCTGATAAAATGACGAATCAGAGCTATCAGATATTGTTTACTTACCTCCTGAAGTCTAAAGAATCAATGTGCAGACTACATGGCTTTATGCTGTAGCTAGGAAGCTTATAAATTTTCAGAGGCTCGTAAATGACCTTGAGAGGGTAAAGCTGATTTTTAGTCAACAAGAAAACAGGTGATATAAATAACTAATTTCTTACATGAAATCCAATAAGGACTGAGAATTCTGCCAGTGATTTTGGGTTAAGAGTTTCATTCGGATTTAGGATTAGGAGTTTCAGTTAGACTTAAAAATTGGAATATAGTGTTAGCTGTTAGGATCAATTATAAGAAATCGAGTAGACAAGTGCTTTGTAACCCATATGAATAAATACTTATGTAGTTAGTTCCTTGAATTTAGTAACAATAAACTTTGAGTTAAAGCTATAGGTCACAATCCCTATTCTTTATTCCTCTTATATTTACCGATGTTAATTAATTTAATAGCCCTAATACTTATAGAATTTACCTAAGTTTCATTAAAACACAAGCTATCTGTCACAGCGCCTTGAATTTCGTACGAAATTGAGCAGTCCATTGCTATCTCACCGGTGAATCTTCATAATAATGTATTTTATCTACTATTTTTATGAATCATAATAATTGTTTGCTTTTATTCATTTCAGCACTAAATCTGAACCTTCGGATGTCATAACTTCAATAGCGAATTCGTTTAACGATAGTCTAACAGTTATTAGTTCATCAAATACTACTAGTCAGTTAAGTTTTTCAAGTAAGTTGTTAATTATTAACCTGGACACTTTGTATTTATAGTTTATAATAAACCATATATCTTAAACGACAACTAACACTTTACTACAATAGATAGTACTAGCTCTAAGTTCATCATTCAAATAGTAAAATATCTAATCAGTGAATTTATTCACTGTCGCGTTTTGGCCTATATTTTGTTCTGTTTTATAATAAGTAGTCAATGAAATAATTTACAGTTAGTTTTGTAATGAACTTGTTATAATATTTTCAGTTGGTTGTTGACATTTATCATACTTGGTAAAGTTAAGTGTATTTTGATAATCCACCTTAAATAATTCATCATTGCTTAGATTACATTAGCCATTGATATTCAATTTTGGGTAGTAATTGCCAAACAAAGAATTTAGTGATAATGTTGCGCTTAACCCTGATATAAGCATTTATGCTACTTTACTTATATGGATTTATTAATATTTAACAAGATAAATATTGTCGATCAGTACATCCAATAAAACCTTTAATAATTCGATTTGAAATGTGACTAGTTTCAATTGCACGATTAAATGGCTTTCTGCACTTAGTAGCTAAGTAAACAACGCTATGGCATTTGAAGCGTACACTGCTGAGTTCAAGTCCTGGAGTGAACATCAATTCTGGAATACAGGTACAGTCAGTCAGTTACAACGTAAGACCAGGCACATATATGCATCAGTCCAAGTTGCCATACTTCATTAGCACAGCAAGATGAACACTGAATTGATAGAAGCAATTCACTCAATGGTGTAATATATAAAGGAAAGATTGCATATAGAGATATAGTACAAGCAGAAAGAATTGGTTCGTAGAAAGAAAGATATGAAGCGATTTTAATCTCATAGTTTAAGGGAAGACAGGGAGTGTATACACCGACGCCATTGTGATCGATTCTGAGCCATGTCACCAAGAGTCTCCAACCATTGGTTACGATAGTCACGCGGACCCTAACCAAGTAGTCTGCATCTACCAGCATGGCTCAGACCAGAAGTTATTGATTTCAAGCACTGATGCCATGTTTTGGTTTGACCACCCCTAACTTTTTTCCAGTCATCCCCAACACTAGTTAGCATTGCGCGTCGTGGTAATCGGTGTTCAGGCATACTCAACACGTGGCCCAACCATCTCAGTCGATGATGATTCACAACCTCATCAACTGATTTGCCATCATTCCCTAATACCCTGCATCTAACCTCACTATTACTTACCCGGTGATCCCAGCAGATGCGGGCAATATTTCTAAGACATTTGTGGTAAAATATTAGTAGCTTACGAGTGTCTTTGACTTTTAATGGTCACGTTTCGCAGCCGTAAATTAGGACAAAACGAACTGCCGCGCAGTATACTTGTCCCTTAATTGATAGACGTATATCTCACCTTCGCCATAGGTGTTGTAATTTGGTAAAAGCCAAACGAGCTTTCTGAATCCATGCTAAGATTTCGTCAGACACCAACCCATTGGGGCTGATCAGACTTCCAAGATAAGTGAAGTTGTTAACGCGTTCGACTACTTCACTCCTTGTCCTTGGTTTAGGTGTTGACGCACTCCAGTTTCGAAGCAACAACTTGCATTTAGAGGAGAAGAAGCTCATCCTAAACATCCTGTCATTTTGTCAGTGCTGCCAGAAGATTCTGGATTTTATCAGCCTCTTCACCAAACAGGACTATGTCATCTGCGTATTCTAAGTCGATAAGTGGACCGCCTGGAAGGATCTCAATACCCGAGAATTCAGTCGACGAGAGCGTTATTTCCAGCAGTAGGTCTATGATGAAGTTAAACAAAAATGGAGAAAGCGGAAAGCCTTGACGGACACCACTTGAGGTTGAAAAAACAGATGACAGTTCGCCATAAACTCTGACTCGACTGGCAGTGTCCAAGTAAAGAGCCTTTGCAAGGTTTATGCACTTCTGAGGTACGCCTTTCAATGACAGACACTGCTGCCACATTTCAGCCACGACCAGGTCTGAAGCCAGCTTGGTTCTCTCGTGTTTGCAGTTCACGAGTCTTAGGCGTCTGATAATTATCGAAGCTAGTATTTTAGATACTATATTTGTTAAACTAATCCCTCTATGGTTGTCACAGGATGATTTTAATTCTCTCTTATATATTGGGACGATAAGTGATTGTGACCAGTCAGATGGAATAGCGTATAACTCCCAGATCTTAGCTAAAATATTAGTCAACCTAATCGCTAAAATTGGACCACCATACTTAAAGACCTCTGGAGCCAATCCATCTGAACCAGCTGCCCTTCCTCGTTGATCAGTACACTTTATAACCAATAAAGTTTTTAATTTTCGGGTTATCTTTGATTACCCATTCGGTAAACTCATTAGCACTCAGTAATTTTGTACTACAAAAAATTAGGATGGAGGGCTTTTGACGATTATCTACGAAAGTTTATACATAATATCGTCACAAATCTATACATAACTTAATAGTTGAACTGCCAGTCACCTTATCTCTTATTTAAGTTCTTTCAAGTCATCACGTTTAATTAATATTCAATGCTTTTCCGTTGTATGCAGTGATATATGGTCTGAAATATTTATCCTCTTAAAGGGACTTGTAATCACAATTATACTGTGAAGAACTACTGTTTTATTTACATATGCTAATTGAAACAGTTATCCAAAATATATGATCAGGTGATATTTTGTAGTAAATTATACTAATCAATAAGTTTATGCACGTATAGCTTTTGTTGTGATAACCTGGATTTACTGATCATTTTATAAGATTAGGGTATGTTCACTACAATCGACTTTTAAGTTTATGGCTATCCTCGTTAGTTGTGTTCTATCATTACAAACATACATATTCTAAAATCTTTCATCATGAGTACATATAAATGAAAATTTGCAGAACTCTAGTGTTTTATGTGTTTGTTTACAACAGTTTTTACTTTTAGTAAACAGCAAACTTATCCTGTCACACTGCTTAACATATATATATCATGGTTACCAGTTTTCAGCTGATCAAGTTGATCCAGAAAGGAATGTAACATGTAGAGGTAAAATGAAGAGAATAAATTTTTCGATAAGATACAGTTCATAAACCGTTCAATAAAACATTTGTCACAAAGATTATAAATGTTCATTTGTTTAGTGTCAAACAAATAAAGATTATCTCTACATAGTTGTTAACTTAGGTTCTGTACCTATTAGCATAATGTAGTTTTTATTCAGCACTGAATAACTCGATATCTTTTTTGGAGTTCTAGTTTAATACGTTTAGCAATAACTATTCTATTCAAACTACACGTAACTTATATTTGGAATATATATATAAACCAATATTATGTTCTGAACTTGAAATCATCGTGTCCTTTTCAAAGAGTAAGTGTTTAGTGCCTTCGTTATTTTAACTTGTTGTTTTTTGAATCCTCCTTTTTCATTGAACTATTATCTCTGTGTTTGTCAATTAGATGGATCCGGATGCTTCGCTAGTCGTTATTCTTATAACAATCCTTTCAGCGCAGATAACCCTGATGCTGAAAATAAACGTTTAGATGACTGGAAGGAATATTTTGAAGAGTTTGGTTCTGGCATGTCAATGTATCGGAATGAACGTCTTAAACACCTTGTTTTAAATGGATTACCTGAAGGAAAACGAGGAAGTTTATGGATGATTTTAAGTGGAGCTGAAAATGAGGTCATTTTAGACGCTTATTTTTATACTTGTTATTAAGTTAATGTGACTATATGCTATTGCTGGCGTTTCGATAAAATTTCTTATGTGTGTGGACACCTATACGTATGGAAATGTAACCTAGTTATATGATCAAGTATGATGATACACTAATCCACATTGTTGAACAGATCGTTAACAAACCTTACCTTTCAGTTTATAGGGGGTGGTTACCGTTACCTAATGGACTACTTGTTTAGGTAAAAGTACATGTGTTACAACATGTCATATAACATGTATTTATTCATTTTCATATCTCGAATTGTCTTTACGATGACATACTACAAACTGAGCAAGAAATTGACATTCATTAAGACTTTTCTAGCAGTTAAAACATAAGGTAAACAGATCATTAGTGAAATTAACATGTGCTTTTCTTGGTTGTTTGGAAAAGTAATTCTCCATGTTGAAAAAAGGAAATATATTTTTACTGTAGTTATGTTTCTGGATAATAGTTACTTTAAATAGTTGTTTACCAATTAAAACTTAGCGTATCCACTTCGTTATGTTATGAAATATGTGGATACTATCAGTCTTTCATCTTTAATATTTTAGTTAAGAACATTTTATTTCACAAGTGAAAATTTACTATCGGGAGAACAATAAACATTTTTAATAAACGCTGTACTATTTACTATTCATTTACAAAAAAATTATACCAGTTTTACCTTTCAATCTCTTTTCACTTATTTATAAGTCACTCAAAATTTTCTCATGTGAATTTTTTTTCGTTTGAGTTACTCAATATACATTAAAGTATTCTCAAAACTTTTTCAAGTGGTTAAGTAATTAAAATAGAGCGAAAAATAAATCAGTAGTTCTCTATGAAATACCATGTCAACATATGTATTTCACATGTTTATTCAGATAAAAAATGACATAACTACTTCTTTCTCCTTACATATGTACTTATTATCTTTTATTTATAAAAAAGAGAAGTAATCGTATCATTGTTTTTCACTATCGATCACATGACGAAAATCATTGTAATTCTTATTAATACACTCCTTGGGAAATAAACTTTTTGGTTAATGTAGAGTTTTTAACTGACGCTACAGACCGACATTACTTAGACAGCCATTGAAAACTAGGAAGCACTGGACAGGAGTCTTATCCTATTATGGAACTACTCAGCAGTGTGTATTCATGGCTCTACTGGGGATCGAACACATGGTCTTCAGGTCTCTCAGCAAGCACTTAAACTTTAGATCACAGGGCCGACATCCAATTTTTTTACGTTTCTAATCTCAGCCCATTCCTCCTATTGCTCGGAAATCTTTCAGTGCCGTTGGTGAGCGACTGCTTCACACTCAAAATGATTGAACTCCACTAGTCACGTCTTCTCACTAGAACGTTTGGAATTATCTCGCTACTGTTCACATGAGTCATTAGTATATAGGTTTAAGAAGACTTAATATTTTGACTGCTTTGATATTCATATTTTTAATTCCCTGTTTCATCTCATCGATTGATGCGAAATATGATAACTTTGACCAATAGACAGCCGTATATTATTTTGGTTAACTAAATAGCATATCGCATTGATTAATCTAAACACTTGGAGAGCATTAAGATGATTAGATACTTACAATATAAAGCAGGGTTTGTTGAAATAAGCGATATGCTTTACCAATTGTTTGAATCTATGCTTATCAATGGAGCGTTTGATTCGAAGGCGTTCAGAATATGCAGGTGTTTTTAAAGTTGATTTAATTCCGCACATAATTATTTCATACATTATTTGTCTGTAATTATATTTCATAGATGTTTGCCAATCCAGGCTATTATGATAAATTAATCAACGGTGTCCAAGGATGCAATAATTTTGTCAATGAAGAAATTGAACGGGATTTACACCGTTCATTCCCGGAACATCCTGCTTATCATACACCAGAGGGTATTCAGTCTCTTCGACGAGTTCTTACTGCGTATGCTTATCGTAATCCTAATGTTGGTAGGTTGGTTTGTTTGTCGATGAAACCAATGTTTTTTTGAAAAAAAATCATTTTTGTTGGCTAGTTAGTAATTTTGTACTAAGTGTTTATTATTCAATATAATCCAATATTCAATTAGTTTACTTATTTACTAATATTTTGTTCTGTTTTGAGAAAACACTGGTACAACATCGGATGTAACGTCTTGTGGCTTATATATATAATAACTGTCCAGTTATACCAACCTCCTCACACAGCGATATGAGATCACACTGACTTTTGCGAATGTCTTTTTATGCTTTAACTAAAGGAAGTAGACTGATCGAATTAAACAATACAGACAGCCTTGAAACGACCAACCAGTTTAAAAATGTCAGTCGTTGAAATAAAGCGGCATTTTCAGAACACAATTGCATATCGCCTGTTATAGGGAACCATGTTTCTGATGAGATTTCGTATTCTGGCTAGTTTGAATGATGGTATAATCATCGTCCACTTACAGAACTTTGTACTAAAGAGAAATACTATCTTATGTAACTGTAGTCACCAAATGACATACAGAGAAGGTATGAATAACAGAGACAACGTTATTTTATGGTGTGGCGTATGTTGAGATAAAAGTCTATTAGAGATTACAAGTTTTGGCTAAACTAGTAACAGTCTATTCTTTTAATGATTGAATAGATTACAGGAACACATGTAGCCACTGCTTCATTGATGATAGTCGCTTATTTAACCTGCATTTTTATTGTTAAGGTTAAGATGCTAGAATTAGAGTATTAGATCTAGCAAGTTAAGATATTAGGATTAGACAGTCATCCTATAATTTATTGAACAACCTTGAGTGATTCTTAAGTGACTTTTAACAACTTCAACCACTTACTAGGATTATGAATTAGTATGAGGAACTAGAGTTTGAATTTTCGTCACAAGCTGAGATCAGCTATGGTGCCAAAATGCTATTTAACTATTTCAATAAATGACGTTTGCTCAAAAATCCGTGTCCCTATCCTAAATTTAATTGGTCTATCCATAATTTATAATTTCATCAAAGAGACATGAACCAACAGGATGAAAGACTAATTAAACGTCTTATAGTTAACATCAAGGACCAATCAATACACGACAGTGGTAATTTACAATACAGTAGTGTTTTAAAAGCAATCCACAACAGCTTAAAATGTAGTTGTCTGGCACAAATGATTCTCATCAATATTTCTCGATCTCTACTTAAACTCCATAAAAAAGATCGAAGTTAATGGTGATAAAGTCATGAAAAAACTTTCGTACTAAATAGCTTACTTTAGAGTATTTAATACTCACCATTTAACAATGTTTAATGTTTTGATAGTTCATATCTTGTTTATGTTTCAAATAAACTTCCCGATGTAGTTAGATTTCAAGGAATATTGAACAGTTTCGTTTCATTCTAAAACCAATCAATAATAATAATCATTTTGTCTTTTACTATATGTGTTTGATCGTAGTAAGGCGTTTTCGGGCACGAAAAATAAAGTATTAAAACAATTAATATTTTAACCATAAATACTTTAAAAAAGTATGTTAAAATAAGTTTTTGATTTGTTCTATTTCCACACCTTGTTCCACCATCCGATATGTGTACTAGATAACATACTGTAACTTGTCTGTATGGCCCTTTGAATTTACGAATTTCAACTCAATTATATCCTGTTTCCCTAAATGACATACCTGGAAGAAAATATAAATCACTTTTAACGGTATCACCACTTGTGCAATATTTATGGTAAAAGTATAATCTACTGATAACCTTGGACGACTTATCAGTCAATCAGGAAACGCCTAATTATAGAGACCTCTATTGCGCACAACTAAATATTAGATTGTGTATCTAAGTGACAAACGTCTTCTGTCTATAATTTATTAAATCTAACCGGAATCACTTATCTTTTAAACTTCAAGTAATTTGAATTGCTTGATATACAATATTAAAAGTATAATTAATTCTTAAGCTAATTCTTTATAATAGGCTGTATTTATGTCTTATGATTTACTGAGTTTTTCACTGTATAAATTGCACAATATGATTTTGTTAAAAATCATCATTATTAGTACAATATGAAAAATAAAATACTTTATTTCTTATAAATTATTTTTCAGGATACTGTCAATCAATGAATATAGTAGCCAGTGTTTTATTACTGTATTGTACAGAGGAACAATCATTTTGGTTATTGACAGCAATCTGTGAACGTTTACTACCTGATTACTATGATAGTCGTGTTGCTGGTGTACGCGTTGATCAACAAGTACTTCATGCTTTAGTCGTTGAATATATTCCAGAATTAAAATCAGTTTTACAAATTCCAGTACAAGATAGTTTGAAAAATATTGTCACTTCTGAATATAATATTGAATCAATGGTTGGCGGTTTTTCAATAGCTTCCAATCATCATTATACGTGTCAGTCATTAGGCTCAGAATTAATCAGTATGCTACCATTAAGCTGGTTCTTGACGTTGTTTTTAAAGTAAGTATCGTTTACAGTTAATATTTGTTAGATTATTCTGAAGTTCTATTCTCCGATTGAAGTAGAGTATTCGTTTAGCTTTCATTATCTCTCTAGACAAGATCAATAGCGCAAACTTCAAACAGAAGTGAGTTATTCGAAAATCTCTATATGCAACTAACAATTTGTTCCATCAACCTTAAATTTAATTGTTTGTTAGATAGATACTTGTTCTGTCACCTAATTTTTTTTGCTGGCCTTCCGCTTTCTGGGGTTTGATGGAAGGATAACCTTTCTGATTAAACTGTCTAACTAAATGGACTGGAATAGTTCCTTTTCATTAATACCATTCTTAATCAATATGATAAGGTTTCATGAGATAATATTAACTACTTTACACTACTAATTATTTTCATTTCTCTTCAATATATTTGGAAAGTATAATTAGACCATGTGGTCATTGTTATGTCCTTATGTGCTGTTAATATATTGTGTGACAAGATCGCCAATTAGAACACAACTTATTTGACCTTGACACTGAGCCAAACCAATGACGCGTAAATCTGTACGAGCAGCTTAGACTCAACTCTGAGTTCTTATTGATCCTCTGAGATAGTGGCTTCTCGTCTAATTCAGCCGGTTCAGTCCAGAACACCAATATCAGCCTCTGCTATATGAATCATATATTTTAGACATATGGAGTTTATATACAAGCCAATCAGACCGCATCTTACCATATAATGGGAAGTAACAATTATGCAAGATCCAGCCAGAAGTGACTGTGATTTTAAGAGGCTGTAACTAATAAATTGGGAATAACTTAAGAACAGTAAATCGTATAATAGTTGTCAATAGGTCAAATGGGAGCTTATAATAAAAGGAATATGAATATACATATAATATAGTTACTTAAGAATATTTGTATAATAATAGTCCATAAATAACTCCTAACAATTGCTATTTATTTATTCTTCGTTAAAATATAACAATCATGATACTAATTGTTCCTAGTTGTCATATGGTTTTTGAATTTCTAATAAGCATCAAATATAACTTGAGCTATACTATTTTTGTAAGTTGAAGGTCATCGTTTAATTTCAAACTTAAACCTGTAAATAACTATTTTTACTTGTTTGTCTTTTTCCCGCCATGTTTGAAACTAAAACTGACTAGTCTCTGTTACCATGTATACATACTGAGAGGATTGCCTTGAAATTACCATTCAGTCACAAGTTGATTTTCGAAGTCAAATAGTGGTTAGTAGTAAAATCTTGAACGCACGTTTCGTTGTATTTATTTATTTATTTATTTATTTGAGCACATAAATATTGGTACAAGAGAGCGCCAATATATATGCGCCACACTCGCCAATATATATGCGCCACACGTTGTATTTAGGACTTTTTAGTATCAGCACTTGGATGCAAGTACATTTAGCCGACGTATCTCAAATAAGAATGAGCTCATATCCTAGATCTCATTGCTAGTCACTATCTAACTTTAATAAAAATTATTTATTTTTGACGTTTTCTTTTAAATATATTTTCTTATTTCTATATTAGTTTTTGTTCTGACCAACTTCCATTTTATTGATTTTTTCTTTCGTTAGTACTATGTCATTTCATTGTGCTGTTTACGTTTTGGATTTTTTCTTTTATGGTGGAGCTCGTGTAAGTTATATGTTTAATGTTTACTACAGTAACACTTGTTAAATAGTATTTATCATCTTCTCAAAGCCTCTAGTTTTGTTTCCTTATAGTGGTGTCAATGTTCTAGGTTTATTTTTCTCATATTCTAAGGTTTAATACTATGTTCTTATATGTTACGGTAGTTCTAAACAATAACCAATCAATGCTATATGAATCGTCATCCATCAGATGCCACAATTGAATTGATGATTGCTTATTCTTGATGAAGAGCTTTTTTGGAGATTTGTTTAATTACTTGGTGGTATATTTCACAGATTGAATTCAGTTAGGGTAGCGTCAAAAATCAGGGAACACTGTACTACTATTTCTTCCTAGTATAGAACTTTTAATCAGTGTGAACTCACAACTTTTTCAACGATCGAGCTCAGGACCTTCAAGTCTTGTTGGTAGAGCTTTATCTTCGTAATACTCAGCTGAAACTCAATGGACATTCAGTCTACGTCTAGTTGATTCGCTATGTAGCTCACTCAGTAGATAAATGCCATAAATTCCACATAGCAATTGATTTTGTTTATCAGAGTCGAAATTTATAGTCTATACACAGACTGGAATAAATCTCAGAAATCATTATTTTGCTAGAATCTAATGTGTACTCATAAGTGAACATCAAATTATGTAAACATCAAACTTTTCACGAATAGTGATGGGATTCTTATGACAGAAAAAAAACCCAGTCATTATTTGAAAGTATAGCGTATTTAATATCTCAGGTCAATTAAACTTGTAACTACAATGCAACGTGATCGGTAGAATAGACATAGTATTGATTAACAATCAATATTATATTAGCTTCACATGATCCAAAGAGAAAATGAATTCATTTAGATTTATCACTAAGTAATACATTTAATAATTAGGTCTTATATAGTTATTATCTGCTAACAATTGATATCATATAAAGTATTCCCTTGTTTTCATTCAGTGGAATAACTGGATTTGACTATTTGGTTAATTAATCTGAAAAATATCGTTGATTTCTTTAGTTAACATCACTCTGTTCAGTAGTTTTGTGTTATAACAAATATACAATCGATATTCATTTATACTCCCGTAGTAACTTAGTACTTTTCAAAGTATTTCCGTTTATTTTGTGTATATTTTAGTGTTCATTTTGTTATTGTTTCTGGTGTTTCTTTCACTTCTCTCACCACTCATTAGGTTATTTTCCAAATAGCATTAGATGTACTTCGTCAGCATACATCGTTTATCAAGAAATCTGTTGAACAAAACGATGACAGTAGTGTTTTAACTAAACTGAATGCATATTTTAATAAATTACGTCATCAAGATCATACATCAAGTGAATCTATATATAATCTGTTAACCTCAGCTGATCGGAATTTTAATATTACAAATGAACTTATCGATCGGATGCGTTTACAATATAGACCTAAAGTAATTCAATCGCTTAGTGATTACACGTCTAAAGAAGTTATAAGAAGTTTAGATCGTGATTGTCCTGTCAATCTGATCTTGCTTTTTGAATGTTACAGAGTAAGTTTCTTCAGGAGAATAATAGTAACAATTTTTAACTTTTAATAAAGTGTACATAATTCGCGTGTGTAGGATCGTGGATGCGCACTGTTGAAGAGTTTCATACTAGGACGAAACGGCCGTTCACTGCTTCTCAGTTTCCATCGCCTTATGATTTCATTGGAATTGGCATTAAATATTAAACAACTATGGTATCTTAAAACGGAGCACGATGTGAAAGTACACTTAATTCGACTGCAAGAATCTTATACTAAAAGCACATTGCAAAATCAAAGTATATGTTAACCTACGTAATGAAAAAAATTGACGTTTTACTTTCCAGTCAACAGTTGTGTAAGCTTAATGATTTGTTCCAAGTTAGATCGTTGCGTTTCAGTGATTTACTTGTTTGGCTGCTTATAACAGTTAGTTACAAATGCATATCTTATGTAATTCTGTTTATCTGCCTTGATGTTTTGTAACTGTCGCACAACTAGCTCAGTAAATCGACCTATCTCCCTATTGTCGGCCTGCATATAAATCGAATATTTCATTGATCATTATCTTTTTGAAACCAGAAGATGAACTGTGTGTTAGAACATTTACATTCTGTCGTCAGTATTTCTTTGTTCATGATGGTATTTTGATTATAATTATGTGAATTTTTTCTCGATCGAAATGAAATCTACAAGTTACTTTATAGTATTACTACTGCTTGCTAGTAATGAGTAGTATGGCATGGCGTACCGAAAGGCGATTGTAAAAGAAATGATGTTATAGCTAATAAACAGATTTAATGCAGTGCGTATCGTTTGGTAGACAGTTGGACTGAAACATTCTTATTTTAGTCTATAGGTTATTATTCGACCTTATAATGTATTTGTCACAGTTTCGTTTTAGGTAATCAATTTATCTCAAAAAGACAATATTGTCGTTTTCGCGGATAAATATAAACTTTTAATTTACAAGTGATTGATCGTTGAGTGTGATGTATGTCAAGTACCTTTTTAGTACAGATCAAATTTTGTCAATCAAGTTTCAATTTAGCCACTAGTCTTGGTGGTTTAATATTGTGCTCACTATGCTAAGATGCAAGGCGATGGTTGGGGGTAGTCTACAGGAAACCTCTGGACCTTGGTTTCGTGGTATTTGATTGGGAAGTTGAGTGACACGGGATCGAATTCACCAGAGAGTATCGGTCGTTCCAAGACTATAGGTACATCTTGCTATTGAGTGCCAAATAGCACAAAACCCAGGTGCAGGGGCTTTCTGTCGGCAACCTTCAACCACCTCATAAAATTCCAAATTGTTTTAACTTTAAATGATATTCCACCTGAATATTTATGATGTCTTTTAATAGTTAACAATAATACATCTTGATTTAGTTTTATGCCAATGTTTTACATATTTATTCAGTAACGCGTATTACGTTATTGTAGCATTTATATCATAAATAAACATATAAAGGTACTTCCTGTTTTTTTCGAAAAAATTACCTTAATAATAATTCTATTTTGTAGGACCATTATATTCTTTCGAAATATGAGCGAATCCATCAAATAGCGCCAGCTAAAACTCATAATGAAACAAATAATCCAAATCGTCCAGCTTATGATGTTCATCGTATTGACGCACGTCAATTTAATAGTCTATTTCAGGGATTAGTTCCATGGGGTGCTGCAGCTCAACGTTTAGGCTTTCCATGCTTTCATCTACTAGATCAAGATGAAGATAATCTAATTAACTTTAAGGTGAGAAATTGAAAAAATATGTATATGAATTTATCTGACGAAGATGAGATAAGTAAATTTGAATTATCCTTTAATTAGTATTTTTGATAAAACTATACTCTTCTGATGGCCTTATGTCATTTTACAGTTGACATTGCGATTACCTAATTAGAATATAGCTTTTGGAAAAATCGAATGTATTAAAGCTAACTGTATAGAAATTTTTCTATGAATCATAGTGCCATACTAAGAAATCATATAGGACTTATGAAGGCTCTCTACTCAGACACTATTTGTTCGACCAGGGCTTATGAGGAACTGTCACTAGAACTATCAACTTCAAGCTGTATTCGTCATGGTTGTCCACTTGCCCTGTTTTACTTAATCCCATCATATATGTCCTAAATATGACATTTCATCCCTCCAGTTTTTCAGGCGTTCATTTCCTACCAAGCGGTTCACTTACCAACTTAGAGTACATTTATAAAATGCAAAGTCATCTGGCCTGTTTGAGGAACAATCCATGCATATTTGACACTCACTTCTCATCTAAATCCAAAATTTTGTTTCAGGTCTGGTCTACATCAGTGCCCAGACTAACGATGGTGAGTGAGGTAGTTGAGTGCACTTAACCACTTCACTTATTTAGGGATTTTCACCAGCTGTGGTGTGATTGTATCCGACGAAATCCGGGCATGAATTCAGAAGGCTCAATTGGTGTCTGCCAACCTGCATCACTTGTAACGTAGGTGAGATATCTGTCTACCTACCAAAGGGGTTGTTTACTTTGTAGCTGTTTCCTCTATATTACTTCATGACTGTGAAACATGGACCTTGAAAGCGATGTGTAGGCTATAGAATTTTGGAGTTTGACATTTTTGTAATTATCAGTAACGAGATTTGTGGAGATTGTAACATTCTAACAGCTGAATTCACTTTTGTATTTGTTCAATCTTCGTAGATAAAAAATTGACAAATATTCTAGCGTTTTCTAACATTCAACGATAAATGTAAGAGATTCTTCATTAGTTCCAGTGTTTTTTAAAAAAAAATTCTTTGTCTTACTTTATTATTGCCTCATCAGTTATGTGGTGGGTTATATATTGCTTGTTTATGTGTTGTGCTGCATCCGATTCTGATATTGATACTTAATTTTCCTATACACGAATGTGTATATATATATATATATATATATATATATCCCTTAGGAATGCCATTCATTTCTTGAACAGCTATGTGCACTTGTAGTTTGGATGATTTCTTATTAATCCAATATATTAGTTTTTCACTTAATTACTTTGTTTTCCAGGCGACGTATGTCTAACTTTTTCAATTTCCCCTTTTCTATTTGTTTAGAGTTTTGTTTGGTTAATGGAAAGTATATGTGGTCATGATCTAAATACAAAACTACGTTTATTATTCTTATTACATCGATCTCCTTACTGGGTTACATCTGAACAAGGAAACGAATCCAAGTGGAATATACTAGGTGGTATGCTGCCATTCAACAATATTGAAAGTTGTAAAAAAGATAGTAATAATTCTATTTCTTGTGATACAAGTATTGACAGTTATCATATCTGTTCTAAATCAGATTTCGATACAGTAGAGATCGGTACTGATATTATTGCTGAGGAGTGTATAGAACAACATCCCAAAGCTGTTAATAAAAATGATGAATTTTCAAAAAGTCATGTTTCCGGATATACTTTAGAAATTGCACATGAAAAAGCCAATGAAATTCCAATTGTTATTCCAGATCCTTTAGGTTTTATCAGCAATAAATACAGTTCAAGAGATATTAGTGAACAGATTTCACTGAATTATAATCAGTTTCAATGTTTAACAGAGGTAAGAGATCATTCTCGGACTTTCAAAATTTCAACCGTTCACTTTGTGTGCTAACGTATAAGAAATGTAGTTGAAGTTTGATTGTCTCATATATCTTTTTAAACAAGGAGCTCAGGTTATTTTTTTGGTGTGCGGTGACGATATATGGTTATCATAAAGGAAATAATTTGGAAAAGTACAGTCTAATGATTTCTTGTGTGTACTTTTATCAATACATGTCAAGTATTATTATAAAAACTTTCTTGTAAAAAAAATCAGCAATGACTGTAAATTCTTTTTAGATGAATGCGAAAAGTTGTGTTTGGTTTGGAATTGTTGTTATGATTATGAGTATTTGAATTATATTACAAACTAAGAATCTTAGAAATAACACAATTTAACCAAGGAGTATTAGATGAGCACGAACAGACGTATTGTATTTGGAGCTCGAAATCAAGCAGTCAACATGTACAAAGGAATCATTAGTTCATACAAGCACCATAGTTATCCATGAAATAGAGAAACAATGCTTAGTTTTTTTTGGTTCTTTTTAGTTTCTCAATGCGTTTGTTAGATTGAATGCACGCTTTCATAGAAGATGACACTCTCTTTCCTCTATTGAAGACTCAAAAATGATCAATAATCGGAGGAACATCTGTTATTCTTTTTGATCATTTTCTCAAATTCTATGGTTAGAGAATCCTTGGAACGGTGTACGTACATACCAGGTTCTACGTTGTGACTGAATGGGAATTTGCTTAGTCAACTATTGACAAGAATATTTTGATTGTACATCTACAATCTACCCAGTATTTAATCAGTAAAACACTGATTTAAATCAGTGACTATTTTATTGGGGTTTTCGTAGATAATAAGATTTGTAGACACAGTGTGTATACCTCATAATGAACTAATAAAATTTCACTCTGAAATATGTTTTAAGTCTTACTAATTTGTTTTATCTTCATGTTCACAACATTCTAATGTGTATTTCAAGTTTCTTTTTTTATTACTGATATTTTTAGACAATACGAGTAATCGTAGAAAGTGTAGACGAAGATAAAGAAGAAATGTTGGATTCTGTCAATTGTTTATTCCTTGAATTGTTCACACAAGAATTACAAAATATTGAACGATTTAATAATTACACTTCGACCAGTTCAACTGACAACGATAGTATTCATGGCACGGAATGTAACGACGGACGTCCTAGTGTTGAAAGTATGATTCAGTCATTTTGGAGATTAAAATTATGTGATTTTCAGAAAGCTTTCTGGAAACAGGTATTGTTACGCAACCATTTCTCCAAAGAACTGTCTATTGAAAGGCAATGCTCTAAGTTTCGGGATTGGCTTTATTGTGGCTAAAATTGTATATCCCTCAACTATTTGACTGCTTTGGTTCCCCTCTGTGTTCTAAAGTCTCATTATTATTGTATTTCAATATTTCATCCCTCCACTTCCGTACAGTAGTCTTAATTCTGTACAAGTTTATAGATATCTTTTTCTGTCTTGTTTTCATATTTTTGGTAAATAATTTATTTATTCACTGTGTAACTATATTTTCTATTGTTTTTAGATAGTATCGTTGCATAATTTTGTGGTTTCCCTGTTTTTTAGTCAATACCCCTCCCCCTTTTTCCAACCCGGTAATATTGGTCGCTCTAAATGATTTGAACTTTTTATAAATGAAAACTTGATTTGGCAAAAATAAGTCTTTCCAAAATAAATTTATTGTCACTTTTACCAATGGTAATAACTAATACTTCATGATCACATATTGTCACAGTAAGTGACAATATCTCAGTTCTTTTGTTTTCCTTATTTCAACTGTTCAACAGATGATCTGATTAGCTGTCGTTAACAACCTTGTTATTTGTTGCACTCTGCTTTTGTTGTTACAGGTGTTTTATTTGCTGACTTTTTTAAATAATATCGTAGATGTTACAAATTTCTCGAATCTCATTCAGAAATACTTTAAATAAAATTAATACAGTAGAGTTTCGTTTTTATTAACTTGATGTTGAGTAAACATACGATTCAGTTAGCCCTAATTTTTCATGTACTCAGGCGATTGATGTATTTTTTTGGGGATTCAAATAAACTTGGTAAAAGAAGAATATTCTCTTTCTTGTCATCAGTGAACGCATAATATTTTATATTCACTTTCATCTGCTTTGCCACTTGCAGGCCAAAGGTGAACATAAATTAATTGGCTGTCAAACTGACCAGTACAGGCAGGTGAGTCCCACCTCTTTAGGGTCCAAAGGATCATTGGAACTAATAACTGAGGGTGATATGTGGTATAGCTTGAAATTGGACGTAATGACGTACGTACACTTACGCTTCCTCATTTTTGATTTATTGAGTTTCAAAATCATTGTACACTTTCAAATACATGAACTCATCCTCCTTTCTCATGTAAGTAAACTGATTTATGTTTCATTTAGGAAATTAGGCCATCATATTTACATGGGCTATCACACCACTAAATCCTCCAGATTCAGAAAGCTTTTTCGACACCTTAATTTTTCATTCATTTGTACATCTAGATGTATTACACCTAATAAAGTGCAGTATAAATCTTTACTCCTCAGCAGACCAATGATATTTAGAATTCGATAGCTCTGTCACAAGCTTGTGAAAGCCAGTCGATCTCCTTGCAATCGTTCCTCGTCTTCTAATGGGTAGTGGTCTAGCCGCTCGATCGCACTAACACTAGTCAGTCTGGTAGTTGCTTAAGAGTTTGCACATTTTACAATCTGGGTGTGTTCGTCTCAGGGCAATAAGGTTTCTGTATACCGGTAGCTATCTCGTTACCAGGCAGGGAGTTTATTGATTGCAGAAAGAAATGAGTAAGTCGGCCAAATAATTAGTTATACAGTGTCGGGGACGTTAGATTCCCAGAACTCACTTTGGATAGGACCTAATTTTGTAATTTATTTAGAAAATTTGAATTTCGCTGTTTTCGCGCCAAAGGCGCTCTTGTCACCTTCATGTCGTATTTCCCACTGGGAAATACCTTAAATGCTATTAGTCCGTTACGTCTTTTAGTACACTATTTGGTAACTCTCCCCAAGGAGAGTTGTTGTCGCTCGTTTCTGGCTGTTTGTAGAATATGCTACCTCATTCCAAGCTTGGACTTCTCCCTCTGGTTAGCGGGACTGGGACACATCAATAGCTAGCTCGCTGGTCTTTGGTAACCGAGTCTTGTTTCTCGTTCGCAGATTAAGTGAACTCTTGGAAGCTTTAACCCTAGCATGCAGAAAACCGTGAGGAGATCGAAGTGTATAAACAAGAAAAACGAAGATGATTGTGAGATGCGGAGCAATTCTTTAAATCTGATAATGAAAACAGTATATAAATTATCGAACTATAGTGGCTGGCGCTATGTTCAAGCCCTCATAGGCTATTCAAGCTGCTGGAAAAACCCATTTATGCATTCTACTCAAGCCGCATTTTGACATTGTCGCTTATTGAATCGATGACTCTGTTTCAAAACAATCGTCGGTAAATAGAGTACACGCGAGCTGGAAGGCTTCAATATCAGAAGATTCCAAAAGACAATTATAGATCCACTCCTATTTCAGGACTTTGTTCACTAACTTTTAGATAAATTTATCTCAGCGGCACTAAGCTATGTAAGCACTGTAAAGGTGTGGAGGTTTATTAAAATTGGAAAGAATACAAAAATACTTCACAATATAGAAATCGATAGTAGACAACGTATTAAAACTTGTTCAGTCAAAATGTCATGTCATGAACTTTCTGCCCCATTTGGCACAAAGCACTTAAACCCACCATAGAAATCGCCCCTGTTTGCTTCCTCAGAGTGCGAACTTAGGCTACTAAATACAGGGAGACCATACACCATTACAATTTACACAGTAGATATAGGTAAGGCAAACATAGCTTTCTACATCATATTAAGAAAACCTGGCATATTCATCGGGGTTGTCCCTAACATTGATCGGAACATGGGCACAGCAGCATCTTTGAGTCTACAATCTCCTTGCGCCCCCTCTCTTCTAAAGATACAAAAGTCTCTTAGGCCATGTAGAGAGACGGCCAACAAAGTGGGTGACAGTTGTAATACAAATCTTTTGAATAAAGTTTACAACGCAATGGGAAAATAAGAGGTGAGTTGATAATAAAACAAGGCATATAAAGTACTCCAAACCTCTTCAGTACTATCATATTATCGGTAAATCACAGCGCTGTTCGAGAGATTGCATATTAATGAGCCAAAACTCTAGTATGCCCCCAATTTTTCTCGTTAAAAGTCGCATTCGCTCGGAATGCTCTCCTAATTGAAGTAAACACGGCTCCACTGGTGGACAGCATTAAGAGGGGACCTGAAAACCTGTACTGCCCTAGTGATTACCGTCTCCCCCTTGATACGACTGTGCTTGATGCATGTTACATAATTTATTTACTTTTACCATGCATTATTGATACTTCAAAGTCTCTTTTTTCCTGCCGTCGATATTATAATGGTGTATGATGTACATTTCATACTTTCTGGTATACATTTCTAAGTACCAATCCTGAGACCATTTAACCAATTTGTGTATTTGAACACGCGAATCAAGATGATCAGCCTCTCCACATATCGTTCTCTAGAGTTTGATACTATCTGAAAATTGACGTTTTGACAACCTAAGTAGTCGAATTTGTATAGCTGAAAAATGAAGGACCTACTATGATGCATTGGACTACATCTCTTTTAGCCTGTTTCCATTCAGATAATATCCAGTTTTCCTACACTTCCGGTTTTTAGCATTTTACTCACTTTCGTATGGCACCTCTTATTTCAAAGTGCGAGAGTTTCTGTATTCATGTTCGTGAGAACCTTATTGAATGCTTTACTAGAATCAGTGAATATCACAAAGACAGAAGGACTATTAACTTGAGCTCAAAGATGCCCTCAATACTTAGGGTTTAACAACATTTTTGCCCGTAACACGTTTATAACTGAGAGATACTAACCCAGTCAGATCAGAAGTAATATCGAAGTATCTGTCACAGCTACAATGAATTGCACTAATTTGTCCACTGAAGCTTCTATTTCATAGAATTTATTTCTTAGGCTGAGATCATCGATATATAAAACGCCGTGAAAGAATTGTCCATCCACACATGCATTGGTGTTTTCAGAACTGAAGGGTTGTGAGGAGCATTATGTGAAGCTATCTGGAAGATAGAAGTGAGCCGACGACTCGAGAAGGACATAGAATGCACTTACACTTGATAATGAGAGGAATAGACGGCAGTTAAAATAACACAATATCGAGATTAAGGCTATCTGGTTATCGAATCCAGAAGGTTTCGAATGCGTTGCATATCCGAGCTTGTCATAAAAATATTATACATTGAAGGTCTTGCCCAAGGACAAGAGACTTTTCAAACGTAGGTTAAGATGTTTCGTGATCCACCTGTTTCTGCTTTACATGTGAATTAATTTTAGTATGTGACAATTATTCAAATGATGGTGATTCATGTACTACGTAATTTAATCGTTTCATCTGCGTCCTTATGAGATTAGTTGATCACTGGTTTTAAGTGGCTTGACATTCTGAATCCTTTGTATGAGTCCAAAATCAATTTTTTAGCTCACTACTAACATTTGGCGGCTTTTCCGCCCATCTTAATAATACAGCACGGTAAATTTGCGGCATATCTTTGAATTTGGTTTTGGTATCTAGCGTAAGTAGTCATTTTACTAACCACCAATACTCAACAAACTGGGAAGTTTTAGTTTCTCATGTCTGATGTTAAGACGTTAATCGAGTACAAATGTCTTTAACTTGATGCTTCCAGCTCATCATCATGGCCAACTTAAGTTGGCCATCTGTAATAGATAGCTGTACTGACTGTTGGTATCAAATATAAATTATTCAGTGAGACTATAATATATGGACGACATTTGAGCGACCCTAGAGAGTCCTTGAAAATTCCCACCTACATATTACGGCTAAATGAGAGTTATAAACCAGCGTGAGGAATTATGATTGGTGTTTACAGTTGACGGCTAGGGTTAAGGATCAGGTATGGGGTTTTCATCACGAACTAACAGCATCTATAATGCCAAAACTCAATACCTGTTGTCGTTAATCTGATTGGTCCACCCATAAATTATAGTCTCGATGCTTACGTGAAAACCACCGTATTTAATGGTCTATAGTTGATACGTTTGTGCACGAATGTACTACTGTCAAACTCCAACGTTAACACGTTGAACGCGACTATTAATATCTTCTTTCCTGTCCTTTTAACTAAAGTGAGCAGTTAAGTTTCTACATAAAAGCTTTATTGATAGATACCTTGTGATAATCAAGTTTAAATTTAGGTTAGCTAGTTATCGATTATAACATTGATAACATACGGACTAGAAAATTTGTTCTAAGTACAAATCTTAGTGAACAACTCACCGAAATCCCTTTAAGTAATGTCGGAACGTTGAGATTCAACCTTACATTCATGTTGACTCATAAGTTATATTTGAGGATTTCACATCCCCAACAGAAGCACTGCCAAATTATGAGATGCAATTGCGTCTGGCAACTCAGAAGCTGTTCTACTCCTTCAGTTGCTGACTGTAAAATGTTAAATTATTGTATTGTTAAATTACTGTACAAATAAGCTCCTCCTTGTCAATCTTCCTGAAGGACCATCGGGTGGCGAGTCTGATAGCATTTTTTCGCGATAATATTGTATATAACATTTAAATAGCATTAATCTGTCCACATAATCAGTGGCGTAAAGAAGTTTCCCAATCTGGTTATCTTTCTTACCCCAAATACATGAGGTGTACGTAGCATCATTGGAATACAAAAATACCAACGACTTCGATGCATGGTAGCCAAAGTATACTATATGATCAAGTAGTGCTCCAATAAAGTCAGTTGTATCATTTCTTTTTATTTTATTATAAAATGCAAGACTACTAGCTTCTGTAATTTTTATCCTTTATTCAAATACGTACTTACTTTGATCGATTGTACATCTGTTAACAATAATTTCTTTATTACATTAAATCTAACTCTATTAGGGAATGGTGCTAATCGTGAATAATCCTACTATTTCACCAAAAACGTCCACTGTTCTATCAGTAAAAGATCCCATTTGTACTACTGGAGGATGTGTAGGTTCTTCTGAAGATAAGATTGCCATTCCAACAACCGAAAAATTATATATTTTGGTAAGTTTTACCCAACTATATAGTTACTGACATTTCCATAGCATGATCATAAGAAACTAACTGTCAATTTGATAAATGTCCGTCAATACTACGTAAATGTAATATCACCTGTTTCATCTACCACTCTAATGATATTTGCACTTCTAGGTTGGTTTGTGACCGCCTAGTTAAAGTACTAACAAACTCCCTATTTTTTGTCCTATGTAGTATGAAATTCAAACCGCTTGCTTTAGTTACTGCATTTTGTAATGGTTTATATATATATATATATATATATATATATATATATATATATATATATATATATATATATATAAAGTGATTTTTGTGCAAAGTTTGATTTGCTTTTTAATGTCGGAAACCGGTTAATCAACTCCTTGAATTACATTACTTACTACCGTACTCACTTCGGGAGTCCATCTAGTCAGTATTTTGGTGACTCGCCAGTATTTTGTACGGGTTGCATTAAGTCACGATAGTATTCCAGAGGGTGTTTGTTAAATAATTCGATAAACGTTTGGTTTGGGTTTAGTGCGTAATCCTCACGGGTAAACTAAAATCGGATTTCTAAAGACAGCTATTGTAAGACTCAACGAATGCTGAATTACTTAAGATTTTCAGTGAGTTCTCTCAGTCATTTACTGTTAATTCCCCACTACCAACTTCAACGACAGTTCTTGTGAGTTCATATATGTTTTCCAATAAATATTTTTATTTTTCTCTTTCTATTTAGAATTTTTCTCTTTCACTTCATGACGACCATTCTAAGAAGATAGCAATTGCTCAAGAAGTTGACTTTGTTGCCCGTGGTTCTTTAAAGATCGAACTTGATAATGATTGTGTGTTAAAAGGATCTGAAGTCGACCATGAAGTCAGTAAGCTCAATGATTTTGTCTCTATTGTTTTTTCGAACACAGAATCCTCACTCAAAGAAAACGTAAACAGATCTGTTCTCTTTCCTTATGAACAAATGAATCGAGACATCTTGAATCTCAAGAATGGAGCTCGGTTAGTTTCCTGGAGTCCAAGAGGAGTTGACAAATATGAAAGGTTGGTTTTCGCAAATTTGAAATATGTTATTCCTTGTGCATGAAAGTTGCTATCCGTAATACTCAGGATTTAAACTTTTCTCGTGTTGTCTGACTTCGTGTATGTGAGATGTATGTTTTTTTTTCAAAATAGTGCTCTATTTCGATTCAAATATTTTCATAATTGTCAATGGTTTCATGCACAGAACATACAAGGTTTATTAATTTGATATATGCTAATCTACCAGTGAGTCACTATAGTTTACGATGTTCTCGATACGTCGTCAGTGTGTGTACTCTATGGTTAATTAGCATCGAAAATATCTTCGTAATTAACACTAAGATCTTACATTTGGAAAACGCTCTAATATGGACCGTATCAATAAATGCGGATAAGTATTTGAAAAATTGTTATAGGAGTAGAACGTATCCTTAGGGTTACTTAAACGAGGCTGTATTCAGTGAGCTGATTTGGGACTAGTAACCAACGTCTCAACAGAAGAATTCATTCAGGTTCATGCGTCATTCTTTGAACTATATCCTTTGTGTGAAGGTATTATGATATATTTTTCTGTTAATTCTGTAGTTTATAGAGTAGAACGTAAAATGACGAAATTACTAGAAGTTAAGTGTTCTGGTCACTGAGTTCTCCATATCATTAAGGCACGTAGAATATATAAACCCTCTGAAACGTAAGTTTTATTGACTTTTACTCATGCGCTTTGTTGAAACTGTGTTGCATTTTTCAGTCTACTAAAATTTTGTTGAGCTTGGTGGTTGGTTAGAGCACATAACAATGAAAGGAGCATTTATGAGACAGATCACATTTTGGAGTTGATTTTCAATTATTTTTATACTTCATAGCTTCTAAAGTCACCAATTTTCTCTCAATTCTATAGGTGTATAATGAGTTTAACAACAATGGAAAATCGGTCATTTTTGTGCACACTTAAAGGAACTGAATCTTGGGAAGAAGTAAGTTGTATTTCTAATCCATTTAAATATTTTTAGTTAATACCTCAATAAAGGAATTTCTTGTCTGTAATAGTTTGATTGATGAATACATTAACCGCTATTTGAACTGGCCTAAGGTGTCTAACATTAAGATATTACTTGTGTTTACTATAAAGTCAGTAGGTCTTATCTACTAGTTATCCTGATGGAAAAAAATGGTATATGAACCCATTGTCGGTGACAGGCTACAATGGGACCGGATATCCTAACGTTGCTCCATTGTCTCATGGATTAGGGTTGTACGTCAAAGGCTTAGAGAGTGGCGCTCTAAGAAAACGACCTGTTTCTGTTCAGTGACCGAGATAATATCCCAGCCCACACACTAACTGAATGATTGAATATTATTTCAAATGTGGATTGAAGATTTACGGAGGTTAATTTCATCATGCTTTTAGTGTGCCATAGCTGTGACTTATTTCTGAATCAAACTCACGCCTCCAAGGATTATATCGTCAATTGGATTGACTCCCACTGATAGTTTGCCCAGAAACCCTTTCTTGAAGTTCAAATAAATCATAATATGTTCCCAGAAAAACTGAGTTCTCTCCAATGTAAGTATCATAATGTGATCTCATTTACGAGTACGAGCCATCAAGAATTCGTCAAATGCCACTAAAGTTAAACTTCATATCGTAATGTCTGAAAAACACAGACACTATTGTGAACAAAGTCATTTGAGTGTACTACTTTTTAGCTTTCAATCCGAACAATAAGACTTTCGGAGTACGTTTTTGTCCTCAATGATTATTCATGTGACATCAAGTAGTTTCAAAGGTGATTATTCTATCCGTTCAGCATCTACTAACTGCAATTTTTTTCTCTTGTACACTATTCCTTTATTCATATCCTTTTAATTTTTTTATCAGTCAGTCGATCTGTCATTAATTTGGCAGCAATACTATGTTGAACATGGTAGGATCGCGCAAAGTCGAAAGGTGGTTGTTGATAGTCGACCACAGTTTATTTTCCAAGTTAGTGTTCTTATATTTATTATCCTAACTTATTATTCGTAAATATAAATCCCTTAAACTGGTGTTAGTACTCAGTATATCAAAACCGCCTAGTTGTTCCTATAATCACTTGTCTTATGTAGTTTTGTACATTTAGTAAAATATTGATGTGTCATATTTATAATGAACAGTAATTAACCTCTGAACTGAATAGAGCTTCTCTATTTAGACCTTTTTTAATTTGTGAAGCTTACACTATTAATTACCTAGCTTTATTTAGTGGAAATTTACAAAAATGACTCTTCACTTTAAGAATTCTATCTAAAAGGCTCTTGAAAGTGTTATAGATTAAAACTTAGGTCTAATGGAGATTCTTTTGTATGAAAATGCACAAATGGTTTAGATTTGAAGTTACTGACCGTAAGCTATTGGGTTCGGTTCCTAAGATGATAGGAGCATCCACTGTCCACTCTTCAGTTGATAAGACGGGCTGTTATATCTGCCCTATGGTCAGCTGATTTGTGCTTGGCATGAAAACCCCAATCCGATGATGCATGTGTAAAACACGACAACGGTCAGGGAGGGATGTGTATTTTTTGTGAGAAATTACAAAGTATTTACATAATGCATATACTTAGCCTTCAATCGTCCATTTTCATCCTTCGATGTGTTATGTTATCTAAACTGACTTCTCATCTGGTCACCAATTGTTCTACCAACGCCAACGTTTCCATGCACTGAAACAGTTCACTCCATCTGACGATTGTTGCATTTTCGACGTCATTTTCTGCCACACACTACTTACAAACATTCTTGTAAGTAGCGTCTGGATTTATTTGATCTTGGAAATACATCAAAATGGTACATGAATACACTCACACTTGATGATTAGTTAGTAACTATCGGATATAAAAGGAATACACAGAATTACTACAAAAACTGAAGCTGCGAGTATTACACTGAATTAATACAAAAAATATTGTCTTGAACAAATATCATGCTAAAATATTTCACTGGTATACTGGACAAAATATTACATTGCAGATAAAAGAAGTATTACACCTAATAAGCATCATGTCCAAATTAAACGAAAGTAGTGTTGAACGAAAATCACAATGAATTTAAAACGTAGTTTTGCCTTTCTGTTCTGTTACATCACCTTCCTTTCCTAAAAATAGTTCTTTCTCAGATTCAATTAAAGGTGTTGGGATGGGCTCATATCATCTATTCTTAACGAATGTGTAACCACTGAGGAGTTTGCTGATTCTGGCAACCGATATCCTCTTGTAACTATGCTTCTCTTCTGATTGACGTAATTGAATGTCAAGTTTGTACGATTACAATCTATCATTAATCTGTAGGACACTTTTTGCCAATATAACTATATGAATGAAAAGTAACACACCAATTAATGTTGATAATGTGATTATCAAATCGATAGATACCTTTGAATTAGTACACAGAAGTTACTTGTAACACAATTGTAAATAAGAGGAATATTTGCAACCTAATCATTAATAGAACGAATACTTTTCGCGTAATCATTATTAGTAGTATAAGTACTGGTAACATCAGCAACTAGTAGAATAAATCATTTGATCGATAAAGCTCCGGACATAGTTTACATAAAATGAATGGGATATCTAAAGCAGTTTTTTAACTGCCAACTTTCAATCATTAACATTAGGAAGTATATAATTATGACATAATTTTTTAATATAAACAGTAAAAAGATTTCCAATTGGCTGGTCACTATTCAGTGATCAATCAATTATTAATACATCTCAGTTCTGGACCAATTAGCTCAGTGGTAGCATATCTGATTATAAAACTGAGTGACATAGGATCAAATCTTTCAGACAGCATCAGCTCCTCCAAGACTACAGTTACTCTATGTTGACGAGTTTCAAATAACATGAAATCTTAGATTCAGGGTTTTTTGTCGGCTATCTCCAACCCTTACCCTACATTAAAAAAGTTTATGTATCTAATTACTCAAGCATCTTCCAATTTTGTTTATTATTAATAATTATCATTATCATTAACAGTAATATTCTTTGTTTTCTTCATCATCATCGTTATCCCTCAGTAAACTCTCTTGTCTATTATATAGCCTACTGAATGTAGTAATATTCCATCATTAATATGTAAAAATATTATGGATTATTTCGATGCAATAGAAGATGTTATAGTTGTTTACACAAGTTGGTGTCAGATAATTCGGCAACCTCAAAGAAAATCCACCAATTCAATGAATTCGAAAACTGCACCTTGCTTAAACAATAATAGGTCCTATTTCGTGATACCAGTTGACACAACTCAATTTGTCACTGAATCATTTTCATTATGCCCAGTGACATTTTTGGCAGTCTTAATGAAATCTGGTGCATTCTCTATATGGATGGTTTCAGTACCATTTTCTGGAGTGTAAGTTACTTTATTTTTGTTCATTTATTGTACTCTCTTGACTTTCACAAATCCGAATTAAAGACACACTTATATCTTAGCGGTCAACTACCGGCAATGTTGATTTCCCATTTTATAGGTACGATGCCCAAGAATTAGACCTAACTATCATATTTGAATTAATTGGGGAGTGGCTGACCTGGATACTAAGTTCTTTCAATTTTCCGTGACATTTTATCATGCCTGTTTCACATTGATACGTTGTGTGGAAGCATGTCATTTTATTAAATAAAAACATTCTTCTGATTAGTGTTCTTGTATTTCATTTAAACTCATTTGAAGGATTAAGTCAATAATTTTCCCTCTTCACCATCCATAATTAGTCATATCGTATCATTGTGCATCATCTATCGATAAGAATTATTTTCTTTTGTTTCAATGATCGAAAATTTATTCGTAAAGATTTAATATTCTTCTAACTGTAGAACATATATAGTGTTAAGCCAATATTTTGTGACCCCTCACATAAGAACTCGTTTGATTCTCGACCTGTTGTTTATATTAAACACCTCTGGAAAAGTAAAGTTTACTGTTTATTAGATACTTATTTACGCCTGTTACCCCTCGTGGGAGCATAGGCCATCGACCAGGGGTCTCCAACTTACTCTGTTCTGGGCTCTTCTTTTCCAACTGTCTCTTAGAGCTATCCTAGGGTTACTGTCGATCCCAAGCCCAGGTAAGAAAGAGGAGTTGGGCATTTGGTTACCTACTCAACTCCCATCAAAAAAGACCTTACTAAAAATATGCTAACCAGAAAAAAAACATTTAAACTATTTATTGCTAGATTGTCGCTAAAGTGGATCCTATCTTGTTCTTTTTGACTTCATTCTACTTTTCATGGATATAAATAGCTGATGTTCATTTGCTTGCTTTATTTTAATCTGGAATGTGGAATAATAAATGACTCAGGTCATCAATGTCATTGTTGTGGGTAGATTATACATACACCGTCGTGCGCAGCGATTCGATGGATAAACACCCAAACTATATCAAACTTTATGATTTGGATAGTCTCAATCGTAAGTTATTACTTTTCCCTCAATGTTTTTGGTGAATAAGATTTCTTGAAAAGAATTTCACTGTATTATGTATAGTTTCAGCACTCGATAGTTATTGTACTTACGAGTATATAGAGTTCACACTTCCTCTCGAAATGCTCTCATACCCCTATGCATTTATAGTTTCTGACTGAAAAGTCCTACTGACTGACTCCAGAAGGCAAGGGTATTGTTTATAAAAATGAGAGGAAAAAAGCGAACATCGGGCGCTTAAACCGGATCAGTGGATCCACTTAGGGGTATTGAAAAACCCTCACTCCAAGCCAATCTTGTACATATGTTCCAGAACCTTGTGAAAATGAATAGCGTACGAACTTATTTCGGTTGCCGACTAGCATAGGACGGCATATCCTGATGGTTATCCACTGCACTGTGGATTAGACCTTTACATCAAAAGCTGGGAAAGTGAGTCACCGAAGAAAACCACCTGCTTCATTTCGAGCGTTCGTTCAGTATCCTAACCCATATACAAACATTATTTGTATGGCTCATATTGTTTTTTGTCCCCGAATGTACTAGATTACATGTGGATTATATAAGTGAAGTAAATAAATGCATAGTTTTATCGTATCAAGTGGAAAAGTAACTAAAAATCTCAAGTGATTATATCGGATGTAGTGTTAATAAAGTTGATTGATTAAAATTTATACTGGAATGTTTCTGTTTCTTTATTCACTTCATGGACTGTCTATATTTCGTTCGAAATTTAAATTGAAGCTGTAAAAATGAAGGTTTTAGTTGAAGTCTGGGCTCTATCTCTTACAGCGAGCATTACCTTAAGACTACTAAGTTTTAATGCCCTTAAGAAGACTTGAAATTCTGTTTCTAGTAAAGTTTTGAGTGAGCGATTCTGAAGTCCCAAACTGATTATTCAGTAAGTTCATCAATAATGTTTACTTCAAAGTAAACAATCTTCACTAATTCCCATCTTAATGATAAGAATTTATCTGTTTTTCGAAATTCAAAGCGTTGATGAGGTTGTGAATCTTCATCGACTTGAGATGGTTGGGCCACGTGTTACGTATGCCCGAACACCGATTACCACGACGTGCAATGCTAACTGGTGTTGGAGATGGTTGGATGAAAGTTAGGGGCGGTCAAACAAAAACGTGGCATCAGTGCTTGAAGTCACTAACTTCTAGTTTGAGCCATGTTGGTAGATGCAGACTACATGGTTGGGGTCCGCGTGACCATCGTAACCAATGGTTAGAGACTCTTGGTGACAGAATCGATCACAATGGCGTCGGTGTATACACTCTCTATCTTCTCTTAAACTAAGAGATTAAGACCGCTTCATATCTTTCTACGAACTAATTCTTTCTTACTGTACTATATCCTTATATGCAATTTTTCTTTTATACATTACCACCTCTGAATTAACTACTTTTATGAATCCGGTGTCCATCTTGTTGTGTTAATGATGTATGGCAACTTGAACCGATGCATATATGTGCCTGGTCCTACGTTGTAGCTGACTGACTGACTGACTGACAGTTAACGCTCTTCATCCCATTCATTTATTGTTCCAGATATTCCTGAGTTTCAAAGTTGACGAGAGTATAGTATAAAATTAACTTTAAACAACCGCTACTAATTTTCAGTCGTAAAATGAATGTAGTAGTAGTGATAGTATGTATATATTGTTATGCTCCTAATGAAAACTATTCTTGTACAAATGAACTTTGTTTTTCTCTTTCTTTTAGTCTTACTTGTTTTGGGTTTTACTGATGGTTCAGTGAAAGGTTTAGTGTTTCCTATTGAATATTCTCCAACTGGTATTCTGGTATTAACAGTAGTAAGCGAAACTAAACTTATTTTTAAATCTATGTTGCTTAATACTCGTGTAACTTTCCGTTCTTCTGTCACTTTGATTGCTAAATTAACCTAATTTATTAGGTCCCGACCGAAGCTGCTACCTTGACGCGGTGGTCGGGCTTGCCTATCGTGATGACCCAACCGAGCTATATTGGCTGGAATATATGTTCCTGTAGGTTCTACCATGCCAGACACGTCGATTGGAGAACGGTAAGATTAAAAGCAGCAACTCAAGGTCTGAGGGCGAAGTCGTACTGCTGACTGTAGAGGGGTGTGGCGGCAGTATGGTGTTTCCCTCGGACAACCAGCATCTGCAGCGATGCTGCCTTCCCATAAGGAGGGGTGGGGTTAGAAAAGGTCGACCCTAAAAATGTCACACCTCACCTTACCTCACGGATTTCCGTCTCCGGCGGTAAGGCCCTTTGAAGAACGGAGCTAACACATTAAAAACTTTCCACGAAAAGGCCGTGCTTGATCGGCCTCAAGCAGTTGTTCCTTGGGCTCTACGGTCACGCTTCCAGGTCGTTAAGACCAACACTAATCCAATTTCCTTTTCAGGTTCCTCAAAAAATACCCTTCCACGGTGTGGGCAACCGGGAAGTGATATCAGCCCTCATACCCTTAACAGCACACGAGACCAAGTTGGTCACATTCAAATCCTTCCTACACCTCCTAATACCTCTCTTATCTCCATGACTAACACTCCTCACATCTCTTTATCATTTCCACCGCTAGGGAAAACGATTCGAGTACGCGGAGTGCTATTCCTGGTCTCCTGAAACCACGCTCTAAACTACACGTAGGAGCTTTTAACGTCCGAACACTGTGCCAAATAGGACAACAGGCTTCCTTATCTAGGACTTTAGAATCCCGCGCCATTAACGTGTGCTGCGTCTCCGAAACGCGCATACAGGATCCGAGTAGCGTCATTCATCTGACTTCACCTCGAAATACTCTCACACGGCCGCGCGTATACAGCCTCTGCCAGGGAAGTCCTACTCATTGCCTTCTCGTGGCGGGGGTGTTGTTTACGAAAATGAGAGGACGAAAAGCAAATGTTCTCGAGTCACTGTCCGGTTGAAAATTGTATGTTACCACCGAATATGAGTACTGAAGCAGTTTTTCTGAAACCACGTGCGCCATTCAAACTGGCTACCTTCAACGTTCGCACACTTATGCAGGTTGGTCAACAGATAGGGCTGGCTATGTCTTTGGAAAGTCTTCATATCGATGTCTGCAGCCCGGATGCAATCAAGGATGAGTTTTACCACCAGTTATCTGTTCTTCTCCAGAAAGTGCGTTCGACAGATATTGTAGTACTAGCCAGAGACTTGAATGCTCAGGTCGGGCGTCTAGGCACAGAAGAGAGTCGTTTAGTTGGCCGATGGGTAGTTGTTGGTCGCATGACAGATAACGGGGACCGTCTACTGCAAGTTTACACAGACCACAACCTGTTTCTGGCTAGCACTAACTTTCGGCACAGTCATCGCCGATGTGCCACCTGGCGTCCTCCCTCTGCATCCCAAGCCTGGACTCAGATTGATCACATCGCGATCAGCTTCCGCTGGCTTGGTTGTGTAAAAGACTGCCGCTCATTTTGGAGTATCTATCTGGACTCTGACCATGCCTTGGTCTGCGCCAATCTTGCCTTACTTTTCAGTGGACAACGAAGTGACCACCACCAAAGGATTGATATTAGCAAGCTGGTTGCAACTTCTGTTGCAAGTAAGTATCGAACCGAGCTAGCCTCTAGGCTAGCTACCACTCCACCGAAAAGTATAGATGAGCATTGGTTGCAATTGCATGACGCCATGAAAATGGCGGGTACAGTCAGTTGTGAGTTCGCGAAACGTCCCGCTTATAAGCACTGGGTTTCTGCAGGTTCCTTACAACTCATTGAAGCCCGTCGGTCGACTCCGGGTGACCGTGAGTTTGACCATAAACGAAGGATGTTACGTAAGGAAATTGGGCAAAGCTTGCGTAAGGACCGAGAAGCCTGGTAGTCGAAGCGTGCTAACGAGCTGGAAGCAGCAGTTGCATCTGGTAACTACCGGAAGCTCTTACAACTCATCCGAGCCACTGGCAGCAAGAAGTCTGGTGTGAGTGAAACAATCTGCGAGGTTGATGGAATGCCAATCACTAACATCTATCGACGTCTTGGACGATGGGCAGAATTTTTCGAAGGGCAGTTCAACTGGCCTGCTGCTCCGGCAACATCGGTCAGACTGTCCTGCTCTCCATGGCCGGTGACGACTGATCCACCAAACGAGGAGGAAGTCCGCAAGGAACTCCAACTCTTGAAGCGTTACCAATCACCTGGCCCAGATGACTTACCTCCGGCTCTTTTTAAAGATGGTGGTGACTTTTTGACTAAGGAATTGACGACGTTGTTTACAAAGGTTTGGGAACTAGAGAGTGTACCAACGTCATGGAATGAGTCGATAGTTGTCCCTATCTTTAAAAAGGGTTCACGTCGTTCCTGCAACAACTATCGGGGGATAATAATAATGACAATAATGGTACCACACTACCTTTTGTGGTCCTTAGTTTTTTTTCTTTTTCTATCTCTCTTCGAATTTTCATTGTTTTGTGTGGCGCATATATATTGGCGCTCTCTTGTACCAATATTTATGTGTTCAAATAAAATAAAATAAATCGGGGGATAAGTCTACTTCCGATTGCGTCCAAGCTATTGGCTTCCGTCATATTTCGTAGGTTGTTCAAAACCCGAGAAAGATTGACTCGCGAGGAGCAGGCTGGGTTTCGTTCTGGTCGAGGATGTATTGACCATATCTTCACCCTCCGCCAAATGTTAGAACACCGCCATACTTATCAAAGGCCAACAATCGTAGTGTTTCTTGACATCAGGGCTGCTTTCGATTCGTTTGACAGGATTGTTCTCTGGGATTGTCTATTGAAGAAGGATGTGCCTGAGAAGTTTATTAACATCCTAAAAGCCCTATATAAAAACACCTCAGGTAAAGTGAGGGCATACAACCACCTTTCCCCATTGTTCCATTCGAGCAGTGGGGTTAGGCAGGGTTGCTCAATCTCACCATTCCTCTTCAACTTTGCCATCGATGACATTCTGCAAACAGCTCTGATGAATGTAAGTAATGGCGGTGTGGATCTGTTGCCTGGAGAAAGACTTCTCGACCTTGAGTACGCGGATGATATTGTCTTACTGTGCGATAATGCCCAAGGCATTCAATCCGCACTTAATCAGTTGGCAATCAGTGTCCGTAGGTATGGTATGTGCTTTGCACCTTCGAAGTGCAAAGTACTTCTACAAGACTGGCAGGATTTTAATCCTGTACTCACTCTGGATGGTAAGCAGATAGAAGTAGTCGAGAAGTTCGTGTATCTAGATAGCTGCATGAGTGCTGGTGGGGGTGTGAGTGATGAGATCAATGCACGTATAGTGAAAGCCAGAGCGGCTTATGCCAATCTGGGCCACCTTTGACGCCTTCGTGATGTTAGTCTGGCTGTAAAAGTTCGGATCTACAACGCGTTGGTGAGAGCAGTTTTGCTCTATGTTTGTGAAACCTGGCCTCTCCGAGTTGATGACGTTAGACGACTCTCTGTGTTCGATCATCGTGTGTTCGGGCACAGAGATGATAATTCAATTGGTGTCACCATCTTGAAACATCGACTTCGGTGGCTCGGACATGTTCTCCGAATGTCGTCCCAGAGAATTCCACGTCGTGCATTATTTGCCGACTCTGGGACTGGTTGGAAGAAGCGGAGAGGTGGTCAGTGCATGACATGGTGTCGTGGCATGAAAGAAAGCTGCAAAGGACTGGCTTGTGTTGGTTTTTCACGACTCCCTGGTTGGGGTCTGAGAGATGGTGCTACACAGTGGCTAGAGACGTTATCAGATATGGCTCAGAATAGAAGCCAGTGGCGATCCTGCTGTACCCTTCTTTTACTTTCTTCATAAAAAGTGGTTGTGTCTCCCTTACCTGAGAGACTTTTTTTCCGATTGCACCTTTCAATTCCCTCATTACCACCACACTACCTTACACCAATCTCTTCGTTATTGTTCTCTTTTTTTTGCGCTCCTTAGCTTGTTTTTTTTCTTTATTTCTCTTCGAATTCTCATTGTTTTGTGTGGCGCATATATATTGGCGCTCTCTTGTACCAATATTCATGTGTTCAAATAAATAAATAATAAATCACCATGCCAAAATAAAGAACCTACTCGATTCACACTTCGTGTATCTAGAAGCCCTGATTCTGTTTCCCGTGGCCTCGCCGGCGTAGGTATAGCTTTGAGTCCTAGGGCAGAGCTAGCTCTCTTAGAGTGAATCCCAGTAGACAGTCGTTTATGCGCTGTCCGACTGAACGGAACTGTAAGGATCCGAAAAGATAGGGACACTCGTCGTTGTCTCTTCGTCGTCTCTGCCTATTCTCCCACTGACTGCAGCGCAGATGATGTAAAAGATGAATTTTACGGAAAGCTCTCCGACCTCCTCCTAAAAGCTAGGCGCTCGGATGTAGTAATAGTGGCTGGTGACTTTAATGCTCAAGTAGGTAAACCAAGCGATAGGAAAAGACAACTGGGTGAATCTTATAGTGTCGTGGCTCAAAGAACAGATAATGGCGACCGTCTGTTGCAGTTATGCTCAGATAACCGCCTCTTTCTTGCAAATACTAACTTTAAGCATAAGGAAAAACATCTTTTAACATGGAGACCCCTAATTCGTCCCAACGTTGGACCCAAATAGATCACATCGCCATCAGCCACCGATGGAGGGGCTCGGTAGAAGACTGTCGCTCATTCTGGAGCACATGCCTAGATTCAGATCATGTTCTAGTACGAGTGCGTATTTGCCTGCGTTTTACTGGACGTAGGAAAGACACTGCAAGTAAACCTCTTAGGGCCATACTTAATGATAGTCAAGCTAAGAGTATATTTCAGGAACAACTAGGAAAACAGTTAGGCAGCCATGTATGTGCTGCCCACCCCGATGCAGCATGGAATGATATCCAAAAAGCTGTGGAAACAGCAGTGATATCTGTTAGTAAGGTAAACCACAAGGTTAGGGAGAAACACTGGATCTCAGCAGCATCTATCGCACTGATAGATGCTCGGAAACTCATTCCACCTGGCTCTGAACATAGTGAAGGGCGGAGTCAGCTTAAGCGCAAGCTGACAAGAAGTCTACGCAATGATCGCGAACAGTGGTGGGTAGAGAAAGCAAGAGAGATGGAAAAGGCAGCCGCAATAGGTAATAGCAGACAATTGTTCAGACTTCTTAAGGAAACCGACTGTTAGCGAAACACTCTCAGAGACAGATGGACATATTATACATTCTCAATCCAGGAGATTGGATCGATGGGCAGAACACTTCAGGGATCAGTTCAACTGGCCTTCAGCCACACTTCGATTTCCCACGATCTCTAGTCAACCTGAGTGGCAAGTTAATGTAGGTCTTTCGTCTCTTTACGAAGTTGAAAAAGCCATAGGAAATCTGAAGCGAGGGAGAGCAGCAGACCCTGACAGGTTTACTCCTGAGTATTTTAAGGATGGTGGTTCAGTATTAGCAGTGAGATTAACTGAGGTCTTAGGTAGAATTTGGGAACTGGACGTAATCCCATCTGACTGGTCTCAATCACTGATTGTGCCAGTTTTTAAGAAAGGACAAAAGTCCTCTTGTAACAATCATAGAGGAATCAGTTTGACTAATATAATGTCTAAAATATTAGCTTCAATAATACTTCGACGCCTAACCAAAGCTCGTGAAGAACAGACTAGAGAAAATCAGGCTGGTTTTCGACCTGGACGTGGTTTTATAGACCAAATATTCACACTACGTCAGGTTCTAGAACACAGACACACGTTTAGACGCCCCACAATGGTAGTATTTCTCGACCTTAGGGCGGCATTCGACTCTGTTGGTCGTGAGGGTCTATGGCAGTGTTTGTCACTGAAAGGAGTACCAAAGAAGTACATTAACCTTATTCAGGCTCTCTACTCGAACACAACTGGTAGAGTGAGAGCTTATGGCGAACTGTCATCAGAATTGATTACCTCAAGTGGTGTTCGTCAGGGCTGTCCACTCTCTCCATTCTTGTTCAACTTTGTTGTCGACGTACTTTTAGAGATAACACTCTCCTCATCTAAATTTCCAGGGGTTGAACTTCTACCGGTTGGTTCACTTGTTGACTTAGAATATGCTGATGACAGTTTTATTTGGTGAAGACGCTGACAAAATGCAGTCTTCTGACCACTCTAAGCAACAATGCAAGCATATTCGGGATGCGATTCTCTCCCTCGAAATGCAAAATGTTGCTTCAGGATTGGGTTGCATTGTCACCCGAACTAATGATAGGGAGTGAAGTAATTGAGCGTGTCGATCGCTTCACTTATCTTGAAAGTCTATCAACCAAAGGACGTGTTTACTGCGTATGCCCAACGACCGACTGCCTCGACGTGCGATGTTCAGTGGTATAGAAGTAGGTTGGAAGAAAGCTAGGGGCAGCCAGACCAAAACATGGCATAAGTCCATGAAGTCACTGACAAGTGGTCTGAGTCATGCTGGTAGGTGTAGACTACCTGGTTGGGGACCGCGAGATGATAGCAACCGATGGTTAGAGACCCTGAATGATATGGCTCAAAATCGTTTGCAATGGCGCAGGTGCATACACTCTTTATGTTCTCCCAAATTTTGATCTCCTTATTCCTCCTTGTCTCTTTTTTTTCTCTTCCCAAATTTATTTCACTGTATTATATTCTTTAAGTAACATCTCCAAACACTAATCTTCCCGATTACTGCTTATACTCTTATTACCTCTACCACTACGGGATTTGAATCGACCACTGCATCTGTGTGCTAATGTGGTGTGGCAACTCGAACTAATGTACGTACGTACGAAGTTCTACGTTGTTACTGACTGACTGACTGAATTTATTAGGTACATCCAACTCGTAAGTCTCAAATGGGACGATACGCGCATTCTTAGCCAGTTTGTCGCTTTACTAAAGAAAACCAATCTTTAGTTTAAAAAAGCTTAGTTTCAACTCCGTTATTGTTTCTTCATTTTCTTTGTTTTTAAACAAAGACTAGTTTTATTTCTGTTCATTTATTTACTGTTTATGATCACTGCCGTATACTTTTGCTTCGTACCCATCCTTGATATAGATACTGTTAGATTCACAGAATAACGTACTGGGTATCGATTAAACTCATGAACCTATTTGGGTTTCCGGGGTATTTACATATAAATATATAAAGTGGTTCTATTGTAAATAAGAATTAGCTTAGATTAAAAATCTAAGCAAGTGCTAAGCTCAACAGTAACAACTATCAGTTCTCGTCACAGAACAGTAAAAATATGCCAAGTTCAGTATGGCCGAACAGATTAGAGATCTATCAACATTACGTCGTTTGTGGAGATTATTAAATATTATATGGCTGGTTCATGATGTAAAAAAAGATCCATCAATCATTAAGGAGTCTGGGATTCACAACGGAAAAAATTATACGCTTAAAAACTAGTTACTCATAAGTAATACAACTATAGTACGCAAATTTTTCAGGCACTTCATATTATTCACCATATGATCTCAATCTAATAATTGCTCACTTTTATAAATACGTGGACTCATATTTTATGGAAAAATGATGTTCAGTAAAGTTTTTAATTCTTCAAGAGAGTTTATTGGATTTCGAGACTTACTGGTCGAATCTTATCGTGATTGCTACGAGTCCTGGCTGTTTAGGATTTAGATCAATCTGATGTTGCGGTACCTTAAGCCCGAAATTATCCATTAAAATGGATGGTGGTTTTTATTAACCAAAATATTCCAATCTGATGATTAAGATATTGTTACAGACTCATAAAAAGGAACTTCTGCCTGTAATTTTTTCGAACCAGTTTTTTTCTATTAGTTTCCACACTGTTATTGTTCAGTGGCTTATCTGAATATCGAAGAAAAAAATTGGTCTGACTATAAGCTATGAATGACTTGTGATGACTCTGAAGTGACCTGGAGACAACTAACCTACTTACTAGTGTCAAAAGAGGGTTGAAAATCAATAAGAAGAATTAGGATTAGGATTTACAGTTGAATCTAGGGTTAGGAATTAAAGCAATGGTCTTACCACGAACCAATGTCAGCTATAATGCCGAAATACTATTTATCGATGTGAAGGAATAAATTCCGCGCTAAACTTACGACTCACCTGTGACAAGACTACCAATCGCAATATTGATTTTCTTCACCTTGTCTCTGAGCTAATCAATAACACACCAACCAGCACTAGTGGCCTTAAGTCGATATCGAATCCTTATTGGTTCTTGATAAAGTTGCTTCTCTCCTTGACCAGTTCATTGAATCCGAAACACGATAACCAACCCCCACTATATTAGTGTTATCTTTCAGACATACGTGGTCGATACATAAACAGCTCAAACTGCATCACACCATAAAATGAAAAACAACAACAAACGCCAAAAGGGGCTGTGAGTTAAATTATTTGTTTAAACACATAAACATTGGTACAAGGAGTCACGAAATAAATATGCGCCGCACAGATCTCATTTGATATATGTGAGGGCTGTGATACTGCCCGGGTGCCAAAACCGAACTAGGTGGTTTTCCTAGGGAGCCACACACGGAGCCTTCGAACTGAATGTCTGATCCACAAGGCAGTGGAGCAACGCAACGAGATGCATTCCCATGGTAGCCGGTGACCAACGACTGGTTCATACACCATTCGTTCCTTCAGGATACTAGAGCCCATGTGCACCATTGGTTTGGAATGAGGGTTTTCCAACTCCCCTAGGTGGACTCTCCATGTCCACCAACCCTCTTAAAGCTCCGGACATTCGCCTCGAAAAGACAGTGAATAAGACTTCCCTGGCAGAGGCTATATACGCATGGTCATGTAAGAGCATTTGGAGAGGGAAAGCGGACTCTTCCCACTCTGTGCCGTACCAGGGCATTTGGGCAGAATGTAACTAATAGTTTGGAAATGAATTAAGACTACTAACTTGTATTATAGTAGTTAATGTGCCAACCGAAAGCTTATGCTAATAGGAATATAAATATTAATAGTTTATAAATAATTCCTTGAAGCTACCATTCGTTTAATCTTCGTGTTATATAACACCTCTGCTTCTTTTTTTCCTTCCTCAAACTTTATCATACAGCCTTATTTATTCAATCTATGGACAACTCCATTGCATCATGTAACCATTTTAGCATCAGCCTGGTCAATGTCTCGTCGTTTATTATGCATTGGCTATGGTCGTCATTTGTTATTATTTCATATAGCTAAGGAAGATTTAGAGATTTGTTTCCAACAACAGAACCAGCACCAAGAACAACCAAGTAGCCTATCAACACTATGTCGTGGACGAGATCCACTGTATTTGGTTAAAAGCCAATTTGTTAGTCAACCAAGTCCTATTTTAGGCTATATTACTGGTATGTCAAAATGTATTAAAAAAGTAAACTGAACTTTAAAAGTTTTTTTTTCGATTCAGTAATTTTTAAAATGTCCTCAGTTGTATTGTTAATAAGGGTGTTTATTTGAAGTGTGTTTCTAAAACAAACTGTAGATCAATTGTGTTGGCTATTTCATGAATGTTCAAATACCGACCATATGAATGGGTTATGGCTAAGAATTCTGTTGATAGTTCTTATAAAAGACCCGATTAATCAGTAAAATTCGAAAATTATATATTACTAACTCATATAATCTCAAACGTGTTATTATTTCACTTAGATGTACAGATTTTATGGTTTTTAGAGTATTTATAAATCGTAGTTTTCGATGATTCAGTGTTGGGTTCTCATTTTTCGTCGGTATTGAGTAAGTCTTTCACTGTCCATTAATGGTATGTTTTCTGAAATTATGTTCATTTTTTTAGCTTCTTTCAGTAGTGACATATTTCAAAACAAGATATTTACGAAACCTCGCCATTAATTGGTACACCTTATCATGTGTGGCGCATATATATTTGGCGCACTCTTGTACCAATATGTATGTATTCAAATAATTAAATAAATAATAACACCTTATCATATGAGGCTTATTATTATTGCTATTATTGTCATTATCATTATCACTACTATTATCATCATTACTATCATTTCTATTGTCATTATTGTTACCATTATTATTATTATTGTTATTATTATTATTATTATTATTATTATTATTATTATTGCTAGATTGTCCGAATAATAGGAAGTGTGTTTGATTTTATTCAATGCCGAATTTCCAAAAGTACTGGTCGAATTATATTGATGATTTTACAATTTGACTATCAGTCTATGTTAGATGTAGTTTCAAGGTAGTCGTTTCTCATAGTCTCCATTATTCACTGTTAAGGACATTTAAATCATTTTTCACTGCCATGTTTAGATTTTTTAAAAATATCCGTTTTATTTCTCAGTTTAAAAATTTGATACATTCCCGTCACGAACTTTTTCAAACATGTAACTCTACGATTTATTTCAATGAAAAATTCAATTTTTTACACTACATATTCAACATAAACTTTTGTAAGATGTTTGTGTAATTATGTCTCTGTTTAGGTATGCATTTGGACAATGAACAGTTATTACTGACTAGTGTGGATGGTTACGTAATGCGCACCAGTCTTGATGAAGTGTCTGAATGTAAGTATTTTTTGGTTTAAATTTTATTTTACATTATATATATGATATTAGTATAGAACTTTTTCTCTCATAGAGAATCGTAGACTTGGTTTTTGCTAAATACTTTTTGGTATTAGATCTTACTTTGTTGTATGAATACGTATGTGTTTACTGGCCTGATCAACATAGCTAATGAATTTAATTTATATGAAGGATGTATACACGATGGAGATTCTCAATATCATTTGTGAAAGAAAATAATGAAGTTTGGTTTCATTTTTAATCGTTTTATTGTCTTTTAAATATTGGATTTGACTGGATCAAAACAGAATAAATTAATCTCCAATATCAGGAATATAACAACATTGACGATCAAAATATTAACAGGATAGTAATGTAATTCTACTCATTTTATGAAATAAGATGTATAAATTTATCGTTGCCACTGTATAGTCTTTTAAAATTACATCATTTAACTTTTCAATGTAATTTATATCAAACACTACAAAGCTTAAATGCGGAAATTGTAGTCTTCATAGATTGATGTCATATCTCTGGGTTGTTAATTTGTCGGTTTATTTTCATTTGTATTGTATTCTATTTAGCATGTCGAATTAGGATTGGTCATGGTTATACGTGTATATCTTTCAGTTAACTTAATCAATAATGTTTCACATTTTCAACTGATTTACCTTATTCCCCTCTCCATCCCTTTCGCAATATTGTCTATCTGACAGTCTTAAAATACTTGTGATTTTATGCCATTAATTTTGTACTCACTAATTTCAATAATTATCTTTATTATATTTAATATACTGGGTAGTGTACATATTTTTTGACATTCAGTTAATTTATCCCGCCAGTTGCATAACAAGTGATGTTTAAAGAGAAAATAATGTTGAGATTTGTTAGATCATCTACGTTTTAGTTGTGAACCAGTTTGTGAAATAAATAAATTGATCAGTATATGTTTGTTTCATTCCTAAACTGATCTCTGGAATAGATCTGTTCTACTGCACCATTTTGTATTGAAAAACTACAAAAAATCCAGAATATTTCATCGTTTTTCGTCTTTTGTTTTGATAAATTTTGAGGTACTTTTCGTCTGGAAGCCATTGAAAATGAGGTTAGACTAGACAGATCATTTACTGTAGTTTGAAGTTGATCAACAGTGTGGACCCACTAATTTAACAGGGGTTGAATCTAAACTGTTTATGTCTCATGGCAAGCATGTTGCTTTAAAAAAACACCGTTGGTTCATGTTTCCGGCGTCAGTTAATTTTACGACGTAGTATGGCCACCATCTTGACATCGATGGTGCCTACCGCGTTTCCACCGGTTATAAAATTGTTCTAAAACGTCCAGAATCTATTTTGACGTTAGTCGGCTGTCAATCACATGTTTATTGTTTGTTTGATTAGTTGAGCCAATCCCAAATCCTCTGTTACAGATGATATTGGGGAAAGTCGTCTCTCCCTCTCGAAATGTTCTCATATGGTCACGCGTATATACACACTTCTAGAGAAGTTCTGTTCACTGCCTTCTCTCAGCAAATGTTGTTTACGAAGATGAGAGGATGGAAAAAGGTTGTCCGGTGCTTTAACCAGGTTGGTGTTTATGCCACATCCATTTAATGGAGTTGGAAAACCGTGATTCCAAATCAATGGTGCACATAGGCATCATCCTAAGGGAACAAATAGCGTATGAACCTATTGTTGATGACCGGCTACCATGGGACCGGATCACCTAAAGTTGCCTCACTGTCTTATGGATTAGACTTCTAGATCAAAGGCACAAGGATTGAGCTCCCGGGTAGTATTCTAGGCTTCACACAAATCGAATGATGAAGTATGACGCATATCTATTTAGTGCCTCCTTGTACCAATGTTTGTGTTTAAATAAATAAATAGACAAGATTTCAATAAAGTTTCTTAAAAACTCTCGAAATTTTTCTGTGTAACAAACATGCATGTTATGATTCAAGATCTGTTATATGAATTAGGGTTGTAATTGTTAAACTGAATCAATAGAATTCCGTTCAATAGATGATATACAGCCATGTAATGCCTGGTCACGAAATGGAATTATTATCATAAGCTTCCAACTGAACTGATATCAGAATATAAGAAACTGTACACGTGAATTGCCTATTTTATTTCTGAAATAACATGATTGTACTCAACATATTAACAGGAAAATAAGCAGAATAAAATCTTACATATGATTGAAGAAGATTAATTTCATGGGTCACTCACTCTGCAATAAATTAGGACCTTGTCCTTTATATCGATTCTTCGTAAAAGAAACCATCATTCCATTCCTTGTTTCTGGGAATGATGTATTTTTAAAAATTTCAGAATAATGTAATACATAACGATTACATATTCTCCTAATGAAATTACCTGCAGAATTTATAGATTTATCCAGTTTAAACTAAAAATAGAATAGGCTCCAACTTTCATTTTCTGGATTCCTATCTCTTTCCCACTTCTTTTTTTCTATTTTAGTGGAAAAAAGCATTGTATCGTCAATTGTTTTGTTTTCCAACAATAAAGGGCGTTCTTTAATTTAGGATAGGAGGCGGGTGATTCATTTACAGAATTCTAAATATTATTAAAAGGTTTCAGTTCTCCTTACTTATAAATTGTTCTGGTAAATTCACTGTATTGTAAATAACATGGAGCGGTAGCTTGATAAATTTCAGCCACCGAGTTCCAGGTTTAAATTTCGCTCCATCTACTTCAGTTTGTGAAAGCGCGTAATGTCATCGGCTCTCACTTTCACTTAGTGTGGCTCATACCCCATGCAACCGGTGAATAAAGTGACCTATTTATTATATGTATACTTTTAATCAATATGTATTTTAAAAAACGAACAGTTAAAATTTCCCTTGATTCTTTTTTATTTGGTGGTAGACCTTCACATATGCATCGTTTTTCAATGATTCCCAGTATCCATTTTCATTAGTGTTGTTATGAAATGTAAATATCTAAAATCGTTTTAATTACTGTTCAAAAGTCACTTTAATAGAACTTTAAGTTAATTATAAGTGAGTCAAAGATAACGCCTTCGTATTGTTTATCAGTGTTTCTGGTTATTTGAACTAAATGACTTCGTCATTAATAATCCTTCAATGAATACAGGGAATATTGTTTTCAACGTGTTGACTATTCTGATTCTATTCATATCTATACATATAAGCTTTAATTAACACAAAAGTTTATTTCTCGTCACAATACAATATTCAGACTCATTAGTGCAAGTGGCGTAATATTTGAAGCATTTAGCTTTCAACCACAAAATTCAGATTTTTGTATCCATCTCTGCCTCTTTCGGTTTAGATAGTCAGGTAATATCATATATAGACAGCTCTCACATAACCAAAAAAGGACTTATACGGTTCAAGATTAAATCATTTATTTGGTACATCTTATTATCTAAATTTCATAGATGTTTGTAAACATCTAAAATCATACAACTTTGGTCTAAGTATAATGTTTTCGAGATTGACAATGAAACAATCAACTAGAAGTGAGCCGAGTGGTGACCCCATTGCTACGCTGTCAGTTTGTTTATACGACTTGGTTTTGAAAGATCAGACAATGACAGCTGATATGAAAGCATAATAAGAATACGAAATAAATAATTAGAATTTATAACTTCGTTTTAAATAAAAGTTCATTTATGAATGAATTGTATGTGCTTAATTTTTTTGATTACTTTCTGAATGAACAAACTATAAAAATCAATTTCCCCCTCCGAAATATTTCGTTTGTATGTTCAAATCAAAAATAACCATTCTGGATTTAATATTCACTATTTTATAATCCTTTGTAAGTTTTGTTTCTTTGTGCGTCGTTGTACCTCTAGGATCGTTGCAAAACTGTAGTTGATTATCAGCCTCATTATCTTTGCCCTTCATTCATATTCCACTGAATTGACTAACAACACCGATCCAGGTAATTGGTCCGGACAATCAACAAATGTCTGACAGATTTTTAAAAAGAGATCAACTAATATTATGTATTATTTACACAACTGTCATCATTTGGTTTATAACAATGAGGTGATTTTCAAACTCATATATCAGCTACAGATTTGTGTACTTGATTTTGTTTCATATTCTAATTGTGGGGCCAGTGCTATTCAGTTACCCAAATTAAATTACGTGGAGTGGGGGTTCATACTGCGCTTGTAGTGTCTCAGCACTGAGCCTCTTAACCATTGAGTTTCCGTTCGACCAACTTATGGGGTATACTATATATCGTATTCTTGTAGTTTTCATGTATATAATAATTTCCTTGTCTATATTGTTATTATTGTAGGTAAGTTGAATTGGCAAGTTGTTTGGTGTAGTTCTAATTACGATAAATCTGATGTAATCCATTGGGAATTTCATGGATTATCAGTTTCAACGAATGGGGTTTATATATGTTTTCTTGAAAAGTATGTTGTATTTAATTATTTCACCATCTTCTTGTCATTTGATATTTGATAGTATTCTTTTCTTTCGTATTTATTCATTACTAGTGTTTACAACGCAGTAGTAACCAAATAAATTTTGTGTTATAGGTTACCAATTAAGCGTACATTGTATTGGTACTCATTATCACGAAAGGCGAGTAAAACAATTATCACTCCGATAACTGTAATCTTTATGAATTATTTCTATATGATGAAGATAGATAATTAGAGGTTGGAGATGACGTAGTGATTGATTTTATTGACAATGTTGTATAAGCATTCACATATTGAAATAAAAGCTATTCAAACCACTTAACTCTATGGGCAGTGTAATTTAATGAGTTTAAATTATTTATATTCCTGACGTTTCATCTTATTTTTCTTTTTCTTTACAGACCATGCAATTATTTAGATAATAATCGTGCACGACGCAGTGCTCTACTTTCACCTAGAGTTAGTAATTCTTTATGAATGTGTACATATGTTTATGTTTTTATTGGATTTCAATATGTGTTATATGAATTTCACCTCGAATAAGTTGTAGTTCTTATTACTAATGAGTAGTAGTGCTAATGATTATGAACTATTGTGACTTTTCATCTAATTACATTTGTTTTTCTTTCTATTAGAAAAGTTATGTAGGAAAGAAAACGTTTGTAAATATTAGTGTAATATTTTCATGTTGGATTACACTAGTCAATTAATATACTTTGTAGATCTAATTTATCACTAAATACATTGTTCGTCATAATTTTTATCAATTATCAGCCTTAACTTATCTCTCATTCAATTTTAGGTCCATTTTTTATCGTTTTGGTCAAATGATAGTTTACAAGAAATTGTATTTAACCCTGAATTACCTTTAAATCGTAAAGTTGATTGTCTACAAGAGTTACTACAAAGATGGCATTTACCAAATGACAAAGCTGATAATTTATCTAGCAATACAACAGATTTACGACAGATATGTTTGGAGAAAATTGATTTTCATCAGGCTTGTCTCACTGATTCTTCGTTTCCTAATAGTTGGTTGAATAAGCCACTTACAACGCTTCAAATTTACAGGTGGAGTTTTAATTGTTACCGTGACCTTTAACATAAAAAACTGTTCTAATGAGCTTCCTCGTTATCATTACAACTGATTCTGAAAAATGTCCCCTTCAGTAGTTTGCCATAAGTGTTTATTATTGTATTCGACTTGATAATTGATTGATATATTGTTTACAATAAGATCTGTTGGTTGTTGGTTAGATTGACGAAGTCAGTTGGTTAGCTGATGGTGAACCTAAATCTAATTTAAACAAAGTAGCTACAATGACGTGAAAAATGTCTTATCTTACTCAAAATATGGCATTCTGTAACGGAAACGAATATACTAAAATGGACGAAATAATTTTCAAGAGTAAAAGAAAACCATTGGAAATTGGAAAAAAACAGATCAAGTAGATTAATATATATTTATCAATGTTAACGGTTCTCTCTAACTACTTACATAACTAACAAGGTTTAATAGAAAAACTTATCGGTTCTGCGCTTGGTCACGATTGAGGACTTTGGATGCTAATTATTAAAGAAGTTCAACCTAGTACATGTCACCATTAGCTATCTATTACTCGATGGATTTAAACGACTTTGTAGCTAATATCAGTCTTTGATGAAAATCCTCTTCATATTAAGTTAGCCTCGACAACGTACGTAACTAAACTAAGTGTTTTTCTTATAACTAAAATGTGGAATTGCAATACTTATAATTGAAAGTAGGGGAATTGGCGGATGGTTTCGTTAATTATATATATTACTTTTGGTACATTTGGGTACTCTGGAAATTTTGTACTACTCATAGGAAACTTTTAAAAAAGACTTCAACACTTTTTTCCATTAGTTATTCAAAGGGTTCGCTTCATCTTAAGTTTCTGTCCGTTAAATTGTATTTTTATATTCCAATTAGCTATGATATTTCCAAGGATTTTGTAACATCATAATATTTAATATTGTTTTCAGGTTTATTTTGTGTATGCTCAACAAAGACACCGATGAATCTATCAAAGTGAGAAATTTATTTCGTTTTTTTTTCTAGAAGAATGGTTGTTATTCTGATATACTGTCCTGTTATTAAATTTCATGAATGACAGTATTGATTGTGTCTGACTGAGGCTTTTTCATTGTGTTTTTTCCCCAGTCCCGTGCACAACTTTGGCTGACTAATTTAGATAATTTTATCCAACAACGTCATTTGGAACGATGTTTTCGTTTATTTCTTAAATGTTCCATACAAAGACAAGCACGTGGTATGTATTGTTTTCCATTTTACGTTGTTCGAGTGAATCTGTTGAACTGTTTATATTTAATGGTGTTGTTAGCATGAACTTCTATTCCAGGTAGTATCAGATCACTCAAGTTTACCAGTACACTTTACTGACAAGTGCTCAATAACATGAAGCATAGTAAACTATATATATATATATTATTCACGAGAAATCATTTAGTTTATCAGTTAAAGGGAATTGATGGTAGCTTTAAATTTCCAATAATGTAATCACATTTTTCAAATGGTTACATAATTACTAGTCTTTTGGTAATTCACAGACAAATAAAGCTTTCCACGTAGTCATTTTCTCACTTGTTTTGAATATCTTTTAATACATTGTTTTTATCTATGCAAAGTCATGCTTAAAATGTAGATATTAAGTGTGTACTCTCTGAATTGTACCAGTTTAGTGTATACTTATAAGATAAGACGATATTTGAACTGATTTTAATCCATCTGCCTAATAAAAAGGAGTGAATCAGTCTTTTGTAGGACAATCTCTATTATTTCTACAAGAATATAGTCTGTTGGTAATCTCACATGACAAAACTTTTGCATGTTAAATAGTGATGCAAACAGTGATAGAAAAGCAAATATCTTTATGGTAACTATGGATTCTGAAAGTATGATGAATGTTTAAGGTTTAAAATTGTGATTAATACTAGTTTCTTGTATATTAAACTATCTTTATTCCTGATGATTCTTTAAGTTTCTCCGAAATACATACTATCGGTGAATCTATTGCTTTCTTTCTATTAATATTCTATTATGTTATGGTGTTTTCAACACGAATTACTAATAGTAGACAAATGTTCATAGATTTACTTTCAAATCCATACTTTATATTCGACTGATTTAACCTTAAGATAAATGAATTAAGTCTCAAACAAACAATATCAATTTCTTGTATCAATGTTTTTCATATTTATTATTATTTAATTCAAAAACGAAGAATATTTGAGCGAACAATTGTTTTCAATAACTTCATCATCAGGCTCTACTGTTATAAGTCCATAATTATAATATTTTTTACAAAGGCCAAAAATAACTCATTAAAGCATGCCTTATTTTTGGCCTTCGTAAAATATTATTTGATTCTTAAATAATTTCATTTCTCAATATTGTTTTTACTTATAACAGATTGTTTATTAGTTTCACAAATGGCCACAATAACTTTAAATATTTTCCGACCAACGTCACAAACATTGACTAATACACCTAGCACTACGACGACCACGACCACCGCTACCTCTACCACCATTGATGCTGTATCTAGTTGTATATTTAATAAAAATGATGATACAATGATTGTCAATGGAACTTTGAATAAATATATATGCTTTGTCAAAGATTTACCTCAATTAGCTAGAAATGTTCACCAATTAGCTATACAACTCTATGTGCATCGTTTTAAATTTCCATATGAAAATATCATCAATCAATTACAGAAATGTCCAATATGCTCAGAAAATATCCTTTTGTTTGTTTGGTCTTTATTATACTGAATATATTATAATTTCTATGTATTTGTTAATTTAATTTCTTCCTATAATTTCCTAGAATAATAAATATAATTGAACAAAATAGGATTTTCAATTTGATTTTCATCATCTACACTACTCTCTAATGCATAGTAAGAAATTTATATACGTCTATATAAAAATATTGGACTAATCAAGTACAGTTTTTCTTTCTATATTCACATTCCTTGAGAATAAGAACTTGATATTTTACTCATTAAAATTAACCATTATACAGTCGACAGTCAAAATGTCGATGCCGTGGTGTTTGGAGCGAATAGTACCGAGCTTAAGTCCCAGAGTGTACATTAACTCTGGGATGCAGGCTGATCGAGTTGACAAGCCCTGAATAAGACGAAACGGGCGTCCTGGGTTCCACTGCTAGTTGCCATCCATCTCTGCTTAAAAATATACTCTTTATACTATTGATGTTGTTTAAGTGTATGTATGTGTGTTTGGTTGCCTCTAAATCAAGGTGAAAGCGTAAACCTGCATAATATCAAAGACGCTGACGTAATACGTCTACCTCAATGCTCAGTAAATAAACATTTATTTGACACAATTTAGATTATTCTATTGTGTGAGTGGAGTTTTATGATTGTAGAAACATATACTGCAAGTTGGTGAATGTTTCTTTTTTATGAACCAATTTCATTGCTACATTCTATTTTGTATACCTATTTTAATTATAGCTGTATACTACAACTATTTGCTAGTCAAGTATTTTCGTTTGAAGCTTAGTTTGTTTAAATTAATATACATACATTGGATACTGACAGTTAAAAAAATGGCGTATATGAACTATCGGTTACTTTATTGTTCTATATTTTGATCTAGAAACGATGAATATAGTCGTGCTTACAGTGTATAATCTATTTCCTTAAGTTGTATGGTGGATATATTTTTCTTTTCTGTTTAGTACATGTCATTCCGGACCTAATTTATTTGAATTGCTCTCAAAACCATCCATTTGGTGAGTTATTCATATATTGCACCTTTTCTTTAGGGGTTGTGGTTGCTTAACACTGAAGATTCCCACATTACAACGAAACTATTTATTACTCTCTTGTTTTCGGCGGCATCCCAACCAAAATCAATCTCTCTTAAACATAACATAAAAATACTCAGTATATTTTTGATAAGCTAAGCACATGGTGATAAAGAAATCTGCTTAGTTTATTTTTCAAATAACTGTTCATTATAGTTTCATGTATTAGTCGAGGTACATAGTGAATGAATTTATTTGTCAGTCTATTATATTATGTCTAAGAAATATTGTGTCTATTTTATTAAATGACAAATATTCACGGATTTTCAATCACTAACGAAGTTTTTTTATATTATACGATAATACAAATTCATTTTGGGCATATTATGTGAACTAGCAATAATAACAATAAAATATAGAACAGAAATTATTAACAATTTAAGACAATTCATATCTGTTCTGTAACATTATCCAAACCCATACCTACTCATTTTTTTGTATACCTTGTAGAAAGTATTTAAATTTATGAAACCCCCCAACCACACATTTTTCTCATTCAAATAAGCAAAAAAGATTGTAATAACCAAATTCCTTGATCTCACAAAATAAAAATATTCCAAACTACTATTCTTAAAGTACAATTCTTATATCATTAATTAGAGGGTAATTAAAAGAAAACCGTATTATACTAGTCATAATTAAATTCACCATACAAGTGTTAAGAGGTTACAAGTATTATACTAATGTATCCCACCATCTCAGTTCATGCAATTGAAAGTGTAAATTTATTTTCTGTGGGATAAAGATATGTATTTATGAATGAGTTGTACAATTTTCTGATTCAGTTAGCTAATAAAAGCTTCCTACTCCTGGTTTTCTCATTTTACTTATCTGATTTAGGCACGCATACAGAGAGCGTATATATCAGTAGCTGAATTGGATAATAGTATAATACAAAAAATACCTAAACTTTTTTTGTTTAATATTCGTTTTTTCGTACATTTCTTTTTTCTTCAGAACGTTGCATGCAATCTCTGGAACCTTGCATTGATCCTTTGTTTCGTCATTGTAGTCGGTGTAATCGTGTAGCTCTTAGCGTATCTCCTCAAGGTATGATGTAGAATTGTGTGATTTTTGAAGATTATTATCACCACTCTTCATGTTATTTCATAAGTATCAATGTAGTTAAAATCTCTTTGAATAAATACTCATATCCTACTTTTTATATCACTAAATAATTGTTTGACATTATGAATAGTAAACTGTCACGGCATGAAACCTAGTTTAAATACTAACTGATGTTTTGCTACATCAAGGATGTTCGCAAATAAAGTTATAATAAACCTGTTTTTGTCATCTGCATTTCTGCATAAGCGACATCTGTTTTTCCTCGCTCGTTTATGCATTTTTCAGTTTTATATCAGTGTAATGTCATTCATGTTAGTTATTAACAACCACTGAATAGATTTGCACTTAAAATTGTTGCACCGTGAAAGATCTTTAACCTACTGTTTGTATCCTCGTAAAATTATTATATTAGTTTTGATTTAAAATATCAGGCGATTTATGAAATGAGGTGGGCTTAGGATACTACTCAATTACTACATTCTAAAACACCTCATAGAACGAATATATATGGATTATCATAATAAACTTTGAGCCATGTCACTGTTTTCGTCTGACCATTGATTCTAACTAACTGATCAGAAATTTCAAGTAGATTACCAATTCACATACTATAATTCCTTTTCCGATCAGCACATTTCGAGTAAACCCGTTTATTGACATCCTGCTCGATATTGATGGAAGGTTTTGATTCAAATTTATCGGATTTGTATTTGACAAATGTTCATAATTTAGGAGGCATGGAGTTCTTTTTGTCTATAGTATTCAAAGCGTTTGATTGAACTGGACTCACTATTATTTTATCTACTTGTATACAAATGCGAAACACACTCATAAATACTTGGTTCTCTGAAATATATCTCGTAACAAATCGGTATGAAGAAAGTAAATACAGCCTCCGTCTTATAGAACGACTAGTATTGTACACATCTCTTCGATCTGTAATACTGAACTGATATTGAGTTTCACGGACATGTGTAGTTCGCTAGTGTTCGTTTATAAATATCTTTGCTATTTTTCTCGCATATGCTCGAACCGTTAAGTATATAACATTGAATATAGACGTTGAATAATATAAAAATCGTCAATTAATTAATCAGTCCTTCAACGTCCATCTTCTAATATCGTTTAGATAGTGTTACTGATGTTCAGCCATCACCTACTTCGATGTGGAGTTGTAGCTGGGATTCCAGTAGATCGGGAAAATGCTATATGAAACCAAATCAAAACATATTATCAATCTGTGAATTATTTAAATATTCAACACTGTTGTTTCAGAAATTGTAGACAATGTGATTATTTCTCACGTAATAATCGTAACCCATTGTTAATTTCTTTATTTGACATTCAGTACTGAATTTTCATCCGTCTTGGCATATGTACATCATGTGGGGATCACCTCTGCATAACAATTCGCTATAAGTTTTAGTACATTTGAATTTTGGCTAGAAGTGGCTAGCACTAATACGAGTAAACGTAATGCGTATTGATAAAGCGATTAGTTATCTGAACTAATTGGCATAACGAATAATGCGTTTGCGTTTGTAGTGTTAAATTCTATTTTTCGGTCATAGTGTGGATGGTTGTACATCCAGTTGACGATCTTTGAAATGGACGAAACGCGCTTTACTGATTCCACTGCTGGTCTGTAATCCAAATATAATTATCTATAGGTCGTATTGTTTCTATTTTACCGTTGAATCATCAGTTTAGCTATTGTTATTTTTATTCTCCAAACCATTTGTCATTAGATCGTTTATCCGCTTGGCGTTCAATGATACTTCATCCAATGTGTATATATTGTGATTTACCATTGACGTGGAAAGAATTCTAATGCTTATTTTGTCATAATTTATATTCCTTGCATATACCGACAAGATCCTTATGTTTTATTTCATCTATATATAAATGTCCATTTCAAATTCGATCTTTATTCTGTATTGTCTAATGTAAATTGTAATAATGATGTTAGTACTTAATTAATCTTTTCTAATATAAAGTTCTCAGTTTGTTGTCTGTGTATGTATGTTTGGTGTGTGTGTGTGTAATTAGCATGTATGTTCACTCTTTGATTCGATAATGTACGGAAGATATCCTTAATTTAAAGACAATTTTCATAGCACACTAATACACTGATCGACTCTTATTGTGACGTGCAATGTCCCAGAGTTGATAAGGGTCTGCATGTGCCTAACTTCCAGGTAGAAAAGGTGGATAAAGGATATTCGTTTGCCCAAACTGAATGATATATATATATCCGTTTTTCGGATTCAGCTGGACGACTTTTGAATGAACTTGCACGTCAGTTAGTAATATTTTTGTTTCCGATTTTGTTCTCAATAACAGTTCAACTATTCAGATGTGATCTTTTTCATGTTATTTAATATATTAATAATTCGCATGTGATTGTCAGTAGATGGACGGTTTAATAAATTGATGATAGAATAAAACAGTTCATCATCATATCTGTGAAATCAGAGTTTCTGTTGTTGTAAACAACCAGATCATAGACTTCAATGTTTATACTAATGTGTATTTATTGACTTTTATAATAAAATATTTTAGTGTACAGTATGAGCAGTGATTACATAGAATAGAAATTAGAAAATAATTTTTGGCTGATATGTCGGATTACTTATTTTATAGGGTCTTTCGAATTGACTCACTTCATTAGATCTGATTATATCAAACCATACTTCATCAACACCGAGGTCCATGGACCAATATAAGTACCTACTGTATACCGAAATGTTACCACTTGTTTTATGATTCACATAAATTGATTACATAATGTTAGCTATTTTTTTCTTCTTGTAATTCAACTTTAGCATGGATATATTTGTAGATGAAACGAGTAAAAATTCTCGTTATGAAAAAGTATGTTATCTTGGTGAAGGTCAATTCGCTAATGTATTCTTAGCTCAGGATAATAATAGAAATGGACAATTAGTAGCTATTAAAAAGGTAAATGTATTTCTCATTACTTATTTTAGTATTAAAAAATAATAATAATAAAATGATATCTTGATTTTGTATCTTATCATTCAGTGTTTTAAGCTAAAATGCATCATTCAGTTAACAACATAAAATATCCAGCTATTTTTTTATTGAAGATATATGGTACGATAAGAGTAAGAATTAAGCCTAATATTTGAGTATTAATTCTATTAGATAATGTATAACTTACAGTTGCGATCTCTCCTTAATCGTCTACTTGTTAAATTACTTTAAGTCTTATTTATTCTTGTATTCAGTAGTCTATATGTGAGCATGTAGTTTTATTAGAAGACAAGTTGTTCAACTGAACATTTGTCTTATCTTCTGATATCAATTCAGTTAAGAGCTTATGTCAATCATTCAGCCTCATAAACAACCATCACTTCACGGCCATATTGTATTACATTTCATTTGTTAATCGGTACTCTATTTAATCTATTGAGACTAGTAGTATGAGAGTAGAACTTGTGGGACTATCGTACGTATGATTATCATTTATATTTTTATTGTATAGTTAACTAACATTTAAACCATTGTGCTTTTATATTCTCTTACTAAGCTTTCGTTTAATTCATGTACCGTTGTCATGCTTCTTATCATTCCAGATTTATTATTAATTTATATACACGTGATCAGACATTTCAAGTATACTATTGTTTGAGTTTCGAATTGTGATTGACTCTTTGTCTTCTGATTGACCACTGGGTTAGAAGTAGCTTCAGAAGAAATAAACATTAAGATGTTGGGTTTTGTTCATTGGGCGATGTGCGTCGATCGGTAACTAGAAGGTGACTGATCCTACTGGCAGTATAAGTAAACTAACTGAGGGAAAAAAAGAGAAAGAGTGATTATACAACTGCATGTTTGTCATTAAGTCCCGATTACACGCAATCCGATTAAGCAAATTTGTTTTCTTTTCCCAACATAACGTCATTTTAGCAATCGGAATTTCATTCCTTAAATTATAAAATCCTACCATACACAAAATAATGTCATGTTACGATAATAATATCTATATTTCAGTTTCTCAGAATGGGATTTGTGGAGAGTTTATACAAATTTCATAGGTTGAAATCATGAGTGGATTGAAGCTAGACCACCATGGAAAACTGGAAGCACTGAACCACTCATGATTTCAACCTATGAAATTTGTATAAACTCTCCACAAAACCCATTCTGATAATAATCAACTGCTCACTAGTGACTGACTTGAAGAAAAACTCCTGGAGTTCTAGTGAGAAGCCGTTACCAGTGGAGTTCAACCAGGTCTGTTGTGAGATAACAACTCACTGAAGACAATGGTGTACGGTGGCGCAACTTCGTGGATTGGTTGAAGTTAGGCATTAACACCGTTGGATGCCGGTTTAGTGGTTAAGTGCTCGCGTGCGAAGCCGCTAGGTCCTGGGTTCGACCCCAGCGTGGTGCAGGATCGTGGATGCGCACTGCTACTAGGGCGAAACGGCCGTCCAGTGCTTCCAAGTTTTCCATATTGGTCTAGCTTCAATCGACTCATGATTTCAACCTATGAAATTTCAGTTTCTACTAAGAATATTTCATATGAATATTTTCAGTTAAGAATCTTTAATGAAATTTCCTATTAACAATGTAAATATCTAAATTCAAATGTTAAGATACTTTAGTTACTCTTAGTCTGACTTCAAAATAACCGAGTTGTTAATGCAGACGAAATATAGATCCTACCTACATCATACTTGTTCTATCGGTAAATCACTTTAATTATAATGAAGATTTAAAAGTTGGATGTGAATGTTTCAGATATTTATATTTCATACATTCGTTTCGCTAGATAGACTAAGTACTAATAAGCGAAGTGAGATATCCTTAATCAATTTAACGAAAACGTGACTTAATATTTATAGGCATGAAGGAAACAAGCAAACATTTCGACACATACTTTAATACACACATGCTCAAAGTCACATGTATAAATGACGAAATAAGTGAAAAGATCAGAATAATTCATCTGTTTAAAAGTTGAAACAAATCGTCTAGTTTTATAATACAAAAGAAGTCACTACAATACTGATATTAAAATTACTACCTTAATCTACAAAGTTGACACGTATATTTTTAAACAACTCCATTTTATCTATCCTGAAAATCTTGTACATTTAATTCCACCGCTTTACTACATTAGCACAAGTATCTTCATTTTTTGTTTTCCACCAGTTTATATTTACTTTACGAATCATATTTCCGATGCTTAATCTTTTCTACTGTCACGAACATTGTTATTATTTGTACCACTCTCGGAATTGTTTAGGCGACTTCATCTCGTTTCGCTAATGGGGTTTGGAAACTTGAACCGATATACATATGTCCTAGGTTGTACTTCACGTATGACTGATTAACATTACTATGAGAAAATAGAGAACGAAATCCATTTTGATATATTATATATTCCACTTTGTCACATACCATTTAATTTAATTTTAAAATTTCTGTTGGTCACTGAAAATGGAAGCACATACAAAGTTTTAATCTACTATTCCTTCAGTACTTTCTAGCATAACTCACCGTTTCAAATCCCGATCCAGTATGGTTTGAACAGATAGCTTCGGCAACGGTTATACATGAATAGTGTGACTTTAAGCTCATTACAGAATGCATCCATTTAATTAATGAGTTGCATTAATATGAGTTTCTTAGTGATGTAAAGTTTCTTCAAATTGATGATTTAGTAATTTTGTGTAGTAGTTCTAGTATTAATGTAGTGAACGATGACTTGGTGAGGATAACCAATTTACCGTTAAATGCGAAATTACGGTGTCTTCTTAAAATATGAAAACCATACATCCAATACTTCATCTGCATATCTTTCATCACTCGTCACTTACCAACTTTATCGTTCCTTCATTCCTGTTGCCATATATTCCACTTCTGATTGCTGCTATTTACTACTTACGTCGACAAACATAAGTAGCATACACCACCGTGATAGTTGTTCGTACAGATCGATTCGATTAGCAGTACTGTATATCTATGTTCCTCTTTTTTCCAAATTTTGTGTTTTGATAGTATTTCATTCCACAATTTTAGTCGTTCATTTTGAATGTGACTCCATCTGTTCGTGTTTCATTATCACTCATTACATTATCATTATTATTTAAAAATATTTTTTTACCATCTGTGCTAATATCATGTCTCGGGGAAATTTAACGAATGTACATTTATCGTGTTGTCATGATTTTATATTCATTCAACACTTTTCATTAATAGTTATTTATATCATCCGTTTTATTTGCTTTGTCTAGGTTAAAGCAGGTCCACGTTGGGTATTAGCTGATGGCATGAATTTATCTGCTATTCGAGAAATTAAAATTCTTAAAGAAATTGATCATCCCAATGTTTTGACTCTGCTTGATGTATTTAGTCAGGATAGGTGTATTTGTTTGGTATTCGATTTTATGTCATCTGACTTGGAAGCTTTAGTACATGATCCAACAGTTGTTTTGATACCAGCACATGTTAAAGCTTTAAGCTTACAGGTGATCTAATTATTATCTGTCTAAATTGTATTGAAATAGTAAGAAATTGATGAAAATGTATCATTCATGTATTTTTCTGATTTTATTTATATTGTATGACATGTTTTTGAAATCTCATTTCATTTAGACAAAGGCCAGGAGTAACAAACCATAATGTGTTATCAATCCACCAATTTATTAACTATTCGTCTTATCCATGTTGGTGGCTGCAGATTACTTGACTAAAGCTGTCATGATAACCCTGATCAATGATTGCATACCTTGCTCGAGATAACGCAAAATCATTCATAATCGGACAAATGCATTCACATTTTTGTCTTTAGATTTTGAACTCCAGCATTCGCTCAAGGACACGTACCTTTTCGTTCTGTCTTTTCGTACCATATTCTCTATGCTTGGTCTTTCTCATTATCATTACTAATACATCGTGTCGATCTATTTTATGATTCATCCCTTTATTTTCATCTCGTCGTGTTATTGTAGTACGACAACTTACGCTAGCACATGATTTTGGCAGGCTCTGTGTTGATTTTGACTGAATAACCGACTTGGTCTGTAAATCCGCTGTCGTTCAACCCGATATTTGTTTGTAATTTTATGTGCTTTACTCTACTAACTAAGATTTCACTGTATCATTTTTGTACTCATTCTACTATTTGTGTGATTTATGATTTTTTTTACTTTACTCTTGACTGATTAAGTTATCTGTTCTCAAACGTTTTACGGGTATAATGACATAATTGAATGATCATTCCATTTTCATAGGTTATCTTTACGTTGGACAGGAACTATCAGAATTAGTTCTCAAATTACTTGATGAAGGAATCCTCTAAAATTGTATATCTGTTTCGCTTTCATGTAGTTTACTAGTTAATGTTATCATCTATAAACCTTCATATCTTCATAGTTGAATGATTCTACATTAGATTCAGAATAGTTTTCAGTTCAATGTACATTTGTGCTTTGTATTTTAATGTAGCAATCACTTCATTGTTAGAATTGACTTCTGTTGACAATCATAAGTTATTTTCATTTCCTCAGTATTTTATTATTGGATATTTATTAAGGAACAATAACGACTTCTTTTAGTTGATATCAGGATAATAAAGTTATTTAAAAAATAACATCCCTATTTGTGATGCCTCAACTTTTTACAAAATATTTGTATCCTCTTAATGCAGCTGCTTCGAGGTGTAGAATATTTACACGCCAACTGGATATTACACCGTGATTTGAAACCCAACAATCTATTCCTCAGTAAACAGGGTAAAGTGAAAATAGGCGATTTTGGTCTAGCTCGTCAATTTGCCAGTTCACCTACTCGACCAATGACACATCAAGTGGCTACTCGTTGGTATCGTGCTCCTGAATTATTTTATGGTTGTACTTTGTATGGTGTCGGTATTGATATATGGGCTGTTGGATGTATTATAGCGGAATTTCTTTTGCGAACTCCTTTATTTCCTGGTGACTGTGATTTAACTCAGTTGGCCAAAATATATGAGGTATGAAGAGAGGTACAGTATCATTCATTTTGTCTTTCAATATTATTGTTTTACAATTAATAACAGTTTTTAATCTCATCTCCTAGAAAATTAATTTACGTCTTAAAATGTTTCTTGATCTCAGTTCATACCAGACATTCATACAAACCTGCTTAAACCACAGTACAATGTGCTGGTTAACAAAATCAGTGTACTAGGGCCATCATATCATTTAAGGAAAGTAACGGATATGTAACATTGTTACATTGTCCGTTTTACTGATGCTAACCAACACAAACTGTATTCTTTAAAAAAAATTTATTATTAGTTTCTACTCATCAACTAAACTGGTGTAATTGTAACTATGAATTCTTACGTAATTTGCATTAACATGGTTCTATTAAATGATAATTTTGAAATATTTAATTATAAATTTTTGATGAGTTGGTTTTGTAGTAGTGTGTCTTCATTCATAGTTAGTATTACTTGGTAAAGTAGTTGTTGTCACCATTGATTGAAACATTGGAACATGTAATCATTATTTACACGGTTGATATTATTTTTTTTTAAAATACTCAATGATGTTATCTCATAAAATTACTTACTATTTCATGTTTTCAACCTCTTTTTTCATTATCACTATAGATCACAGGGACACCAGAGGATGATACATGGCCTGATGTTTATCGTTTACCTAATTATGTAAGATTTGAACGTCGACCAGGCATACCATTCTCACAGATATTTACCGCAGCTAGTACGGATCTTATAAATTTACTAGAGACTTTGTTAAATTTAAATCCAGATGCACGTGGAACTGCTGCCAATGCGTTACAATCATCTTATTTTACATCAAAACCATATCCTACACCGGAAAATGAATTACCACAGCCTAAAGTTAATCGGACTGTCGCTAGTTTACTACATCAACACGAGCATCAACGTGGTTTGCATAACCCTCTAGATCCTGGTCTAGCCAAAGCATCACGATCAGATGTAATAGTTCCTAGTTTAAAATTAGAATCAACTAATGTAAGTACACCAACACCAACTGCAACCAATCGTAAAATAACTCGTTCTTTGAAAAAATCAATGGAACCGGATGATTCAATATCACCGTCATTACCACCTACATGTGCTAAACGGTTACATTTATAAATTTCTGTGTAATATCCTCCATTGGTTTACAGACACATACACACACGTATTTTTGTACATTATCCCCATTCAATCGTGTTCAATAAAATGTTTTGTTCTTATATAGATTTAAATATTTCGTTTCTTTAATATTTGTATGTGGCCTTCCCATTACCAACTTATCTAGATTAATTTCATATTAGTAATTGACTTAAACAACCACGCGATTGTTCTTACCGCCGATTTAATAATAGTTAGATCACGACACGTAGTATTATTTCAAACAAGCTTGTCCTCAAGTCAAACGATTAGGCAAACAAAACAGATGAATAAACGTATGTATTAGGTATATGAAAGTCAAGCATATATATATCTGAGTCATCATCTATGTATATAAATAATGTCCTGAACGAGTAATGTAGTATTTAGATTTAGTTCGCCAAAGTCGTCAGACATCCCTAAACGCATATGTGTACACAGGTAAGAGTACAAATAATCAATAATTTAGATTTGTTCATGCTCTCGATCAGATTCAAAATTCCCCATAACGCCGTACCGATAATCATCAGGTGGTCATTAGTTACTAGCTTATAGGAAATTTCCGGAGTTATAGTAAGAAGCTATGACCGACCGTGTCATAAATCTGTACATTATATGTTTCAAAAGTACTTTGACGTTTGGCTATTCTCCAGTCTACATCGATTCTCAAGGTACATTATCTTAAAATGAAATGAATGAACTAATTAATTACATCCATAACAACATTTTAGGATAATGAAAGAATAATAATGTTTCATGTGCCATAACCAACTTAACACATGTATCTCTATTTTAGGTAGTTTGTTTACAAATTCCATGTTGAATAAAATAAATGAATTGTAACTGTCAATAAATCTTAAAAACGCTCTTTTCCCTATTTTGGACTCACCAGCTGGATGTGCTTACATTCAAGCTCAATGAATAACACGTTGGAGTTTGAAGCAAAGGATACTGGATTCAATTACTAATGTGAACATTAACATTGCAATTTAAGTACAATCCATTGAAAAGTTCCAATAAGAACGAAATTCACGTCTTGGATTCCACTACTTACCATTATTCATTTGATTTATAAGACATGACTATATATATACGTCAACTGAGCCTGATTAAAACTCAGTCTTTCATATCAACAAAAGGATAATTCAAACCTTTATTAACAGTTTCTGGTAATTAATTATAAATCCTTTCATATGGACGTCTAGTGCTATAAAAAAAATGATTAGTTTGTTATGGTAGAAAACATTATTTTAAAAATCTCAGTTTAAAATCATGGTAACTTTCGAAATTATATCATAATTTCAGAGTTTTCAATGGGACTTAATTAGATTATTTCAACTTAAGAAAGAAATAACTGGCAGTGACTTAACTATGACTGATGAACAAGTACGTACAATACAAACAAATCATGTGGTGAATAATTTTGTAGGCATTAACTATAATAAAATCTCATATATTTCAATTAATACACTCTAAAATAGAGAAAAAACACTAGAAATCTCAAAACCGTTCAGGTTATGTATATTTTTTAAGAGCATAGATTTTGTGCAATGATAATTAAAGCACTTTTAACTAGTATACTATTTGTGTTAACGGATATAAGTAGTGTGTAACACCAATCAAATGTGGAATACATGGCAACAGAAGATTGAATTGAAGACAACAGGAATGTAAACAGAGAGTAATTGTAGTATCAACACGAATGAAGGACCGATGAAGTTTGTAAGTGACGATTGATGTAAGAATTGCAGATTTCACGAAGACACTGTAATTTTGCATCAAGCAGTAAATTGGTCTTCGTTCACTACCTGGCTGATGTTCACATGAAGAGTACGGCTCTGTGTCAAATACATATAGCCGTAATTTTGAGATAGTTGTCATTTTATGTGTTCAGAAATACATCACTAGTAAAGCAAAATCAGTTATCGAACATTTCAATAATACAACAATCCCTCCACTAATCATTTCTAATGTATTTTCAGTACAACGACACTTTTTTAGTTTTTCTCCTAAATCACATCTATAGAAATATATTACTGCTAAGAGAAACATGATAGTTATCACTTAAATAACTGGTGTTACTGTTTTTATCTGAACCATCACGAAATAACGAAGCAGGGATGATATTCGACAAGCTGATTTCTTACATCCGACAGCAAACAAATAGATATAAATTTGGAAATCTGTCTAGCTGATTGTTTGTTATTGAGAAGCATAAAATCTAATTTTATTTATAATAAACTTTGGTCATCGATCTAATGGAATATATATATGATGTAGGTATTTTTGTGCTAAGCTTTTGAACATAGACTGTTATTCTGACCTACTTTTGTAGGTGCAGTCTATTTATGTGAGTTCGCCGCGATTGCCCTAACAAGTAGTTGGATATGTTGAGTGACATAGTTCAAATGTTGTCATTTTTCTCTTATATCATAAAATTATTCTTAACCTTTTATTCGGAGAACCCTGTCTTCTTTCTTGAGTCATACTTTCTATACTCAATCATTTCTATTACCATTGATACTACTACTAGTACGCTATTCATTTTCATACTTTAGTTGTGTTGTTGTAGTGCAATAATTTGGGTCAACTCGTAAATCCCCAATGTTCTACTGTGATAATTAGAAGTATTTGAATTATTATTATACAAACTAGGAATTCCAGAAATAACTCAATTTACACCAAGTAGAACTGGGTGAGCACGAATGAACGTATTATATTTAGAATTCGAAATCAGACAGTCATCAAGTACAAAGGAATCATTAGTTCATAGAAACACCATATATACTATGCTTTTATTTACACTTTGCAGTTTTACTTGCGTTGCTCTGAGTAACGATAAATATACAATTGGGTGTGAATTTAAAGAATATATATATGAGTTGGGTAATGATGGTCAAAATTGTTATGTCCCGATAAGAATAATGAATGGTAGCTGTTGGGATCCATTTATAGACCAATACTATGCGTATATTTTTATCGTATAATTAATTGTTAAATAACTAAACTATTTATATTCATGTCCCTATCATTATGAGCTTTATTTTGACCTGCGAACTATTATTATACGATTTACCATTCTTGAATTATGCCCTGTCTATCAATTACTATCTCCCACATTCACAGCCACATTTGACTAAATCTTGTACAAATGTTGTTTCCTATTTCATCGGTACGTTGTTGTCTGTTTGATTGGTATATAAACCCAGTATGTTTGAAATAAATAATTCATATTGCAGAGGCTGAGATCGTTGTTCTGGACTTAACTGGCTGGGCTAGGCAAGAAGCAGAACCGATAAGTAAGTACTCTAGACTGCTCGCACATGTTTTATGCGTCACCGATCCGATCGATAATTCACCGTTCTCTAGCTGGCGGTATTATCACGTTATACATCACCAGGGCACATAGGCCAAAAATGTTACTCCTGTTTTTTTTCTTTTAATTTAAAAGTACTGACATAATATCGCCGTATTATTGATCAGTCGATCATTAATTTCATACCTACTCAATTTACGTAATATATTGACAGATTTAATGATTAATATTCTAGACACGAAATTTCAATGAATCCTAATGATTAATTAACTATAAGAAATGAAGTAACGAAACTCATTGTTCTATTGTATATTCTTAGAAGGAAAAATTATTTAAAATATTCAGAAGAAACCTTAGTTTATGTTCTTATATTCTGAGCAGTGAGTCAAACGCAATCTACGATCTCGTACATACCTACATAAGTTCAGGTTACCTTACCACAGATTGGCAAAATGAAATTATTAAGACAAGTTCCAGAGTAACAGAATTAGTATAAGAGAAGTAGATAAGATGAGCTATTAACGATATTATTCGAGAAGAGTAATTCTGCGGAATTAGAAATAAACAGTACAAGTGAATTTTGAAATTCAAAATCTTAGAGGGGCAAAAATTTGAATTTACCTATGATATTGCGACAGAGTCATGTCACCCTACGTCTCTAACTGTTAGTTACAATAATCACAAATCTTGCCAACATAGATTTCACAAACAGTGGAGACGTCTTTAAATGATCATTTATCTTTTAAAATTCGTAGTTGATATTCGAAGTCATCAGTTTTAGTTGTTATATATGCACCATGTGTAGGTTACTTAAGTACAAACAATTTTTGACGAGAACTACAGGATGACTTATTTCATTATTCTCTGAAATCAGGGTTTTTTAGTTTATTACCTAATTATTGCAGGTTTTTGATTGTTGTAACACAAGAAATGTTGAACGCTAATCATAAATCGAAAGTGATCGTGATAAATTTGTTATTTTGTCCATTTCTACTAAGGTGTTCCTAAACATAACCTTAGTGTTGGATACACGTCGGTTAGAATCTAGTCTAATATTCTGTCAATTTATTTGTCCCTACACACACGTTGACTACTTATTTAATGTTATTAAAATGCAGTATTCATCAACCTATGTGTTATTGGACACGTATTACAAGGAAGCATAAACACTCAACCTTTACGGCGGCCTCCTTGAATATCTGGGCTACCTGTTTCTGTGCTGAGAATTCTATATTGTACCAAAATATAATATTGAATAATAAATAAATGAATAAATACAACCTCCCATCAATGCACACAAATCACTTAACAGTGTGACAACACTCATATCATTTATATTTTCCATTATATCACTTAATAAATAGGTTCGTGAAATCGCATTTCCAGATTACATTGCAGCGGGGGAGTCCGTAGCAAATGTTACTGATAAGGTGAAATTGATACATCAAAGTCAGACCACTATTGAAAACCTGGAAGCACTTGATAACCATTTCGTCACTGTATGGGTTTCCTCTGGAACCTTTGGTATTGAGCACAAAACCCAGAACCTCTAGACCTCTGAGCAAGGTTTCCAACGGCGTCAATGTCCCACTGCGATTAGTCTACGATATTGCGCGACCACTGTAACGCTATGATTCAGGAGTTATGGAGTTCAACTTCTAACCAC